TCATGTGTGCGCGCGCGTGGGTGACTAGTGAATCGAAATAACGCCGCATAGCTCACGGAAATGAGCAACCGCAAATTCACGGCACCCACAAAAGTCACAACCGGCAACACTCTGCCCACCGCCAGCCCCCTCATCAAAGCTTCACCATGTAGCGCATGTACAAAAAGCAAAAACTGCACTCTCTCTCTCTCTCTCACACACACACACACCTGTCAATCACGTGTAACCATGTGAGAGCTTATAGCGACAATCGTTTCGGGACAGATAGGTTAGACTTAAGTTTTTATACGGACACGAGTCGGACTTTTTCGAGTCTATTAGGCGGATTACAGAGAGATATACATATGCATGCTTACATACCTACTTATGAATGAGTTTGACGTGACAACAGATTAAAAGTTTCTAATTTACAAACATTTTTGCTAAGTATTGAAAAAAAAAGCATCGATATGGGGAACGATTATTTTTTATAACCCTTTCTAAAAATCTGGAATATTAGTTTTATTCAAGCTAAATAAGTTATATTTCAATTGAAATATTCTTTACTTTTAACCAAAACTTTTTTTTTCAAAATTTATATATTTATATAATTACAAAGTTACCAAATTGTACCAACAGACAAAAAAAAAACAAATACGAGTATTGATAACTTTTACAAGGCTTTCAATTTCTTAGGTTTCCATCTTGTCGGTCGCATTCCATAAATATTCTTTCATTGTTTAGAAGTTTTTTTTGTGAACCATCCGTTTTCTTTTTTTTTTTTGTTTATAAATGCAATAATACACGTGAATTAAAAAAAATTTGATAAAAATAATTGTTTACTCGGATTGGACTTAAATATGTATCATATAGCCATATAGGTTTCCAGAGAAACAATCGGTCGTAAATTCATTTTCAAACCATATAGTGTATTTTTTATTGAAACAAAGAGAACCTCCAATTCTTTCACATGTTGTTATCTTGTTGCTATATTTGTCCCATAAAAAGGGGCTTGGCCTTACACAAAATGAATGCCGGCTGGTTTGAGATAATTTCGTTTATATAATACGCAAAGTCAATGGCGGCTCTATAGCATTACTGAAACTTTTGTGAAATGTTCGCCTGCGTATTTGTTTGGAATCTGAATTATAAACTTCGAGAGGAAATTAGGGCTTCGAAGCAGACTAATAAGATATAAAATAAAACATTAAATTATTTTCTAATGTTTAACAAACTTCGAGCCTGCTACTTCCAACAAATCTGACTAAAATGAAAAAGAGCATTTAAGATTATGAGTGACTCGGATACCGCATTGCAGTTTATTTATTTACAAATGCACTGTCAATTACACGCGTTGAGGGTTGGCCTTAGCTCCTAGTTAACTCAGCTGCCGCTCAGTTGGTTGGCATTTCAAGTGGCATTTCAATTTTTGCCACAAACACACAAAATACATATTTACACACAATTATATATATTGTATATACAATACATAATATTTTGTTTGCTTGAGATATTACAATAAGCCCACGTCAAAAACATTATCAGAATTTTAATAAGGCGCCAATTGTAGCAATGTTATACTCGTAGTTGTGTTTATACCCTGTACATGGGTGTATTATGTTTTTATAAGTGAAAAATGCAAGTGGCCGAAATTTATACACAGATGCCTTATAACATATGCATGTTTGTGCAGTACGAGGCAATTCTTTTTCCTCTGATGCACCCCCACTCCATCATTATTAATGATTATCCATAACCTTGTTCGTATAAGCACATAGATCTCAGAGACAGTAAAAGCTAGAGATACCAAATTTTGCAGACAGCCTTATATGAATATGTGTTGAATTTTTCTTCTTCTCCTCTTAGCGGCCTTTCATAACTCCTATAATTCTTAGAATTTTTTATTTAAATTTGTTAATTAAAAATTGTTACGGTTTTTTAAACAGTTTTATTTATTGCTTATTATTTTAAATATTGTTTTTTTTTTTTTATTTGTAGAATCATTCTACACATATTTACAGGATATTTCAAAGTCGGAGCAACCGATTAGCGCTTTCACTTGTTTTAACCTGCTGTTTCTCTCACTTCCCTCTGTCCCTCCCTCTCCCATTGTCACGCTTGTCTCTCATTATTTAAATACAACCGATGTAAGATGCTTAAAGCGTGAATCATAAAGTTGACTCTAACTTGTGGTGATTACTAAAGTGTTCAAAAGTTCAGTTTACCTAATTTCGAATGCTAATCGGCGGATCAATATAAGGCTTTTATACAATACAAGTGAATGGAATACCTTGTCGATTATTCAACGAACAACTGAATGACTGACATAGAAATGTAGATAGTACATGCATTGCAACAGCTAGTATGAGTGGTTTTAAAAATTCTGGATTAATGATTTTATTAGCTCTAGCAAAAACGAGAACTGATTGGAATGCAATCGAAATGGATGAGCAAGTACAGTAGAATCAAACTCACTAGACTAATGGATACCCTGACTTAGTATATATAAGTCATATTAGTATGTATAATTAATATGTATAAACTCTTCCTTTCTCGGACCTAGGAGAATCAGGATGCCAACTTTGGTTATTATAGCTTTTATAGTTTCTGAGATCCTTGACGGACGGACGGACATGTCTAGATCGATTTCTCTCGTCATGCTGATTCAGAATATATATACTTTATGTGGTCGGAGATGCTTCCTTCTGCATGTTACATACTTTGCACAAACCTAATATACCCTTTTTACCCTACGGGTACAGGGTATAAAAAGAAAATATTTGAAGGCCACAAATGTCTATCTATCTATCTGAATTGTAGTACACAAAGTTTGAATGATTAAAGCATTAATTCATTTAATATATGTATAGTAAGTTGATATTATATCATATTTTGTTATTTAATAAAACGATATATACAGTTTATAAATTATATTCGGTAAGCTCTGAACACAATTCCGACGTACACCTATGCTATTGAAACTGTACAACATATGTCTCTATTGATTTTTATTTTTCATTTAATTTTTTTAAATAATAATAAAAATATTCTGTAATTTGTGGGTACAGCGTACTTAAGTGTTTGGTCCGCTTGACTCTAGCAATCCTTTCTTGTTTGTTAGAAAAATATTACACTCTTAGTCACTCTTAATATAATGTTGACTAATTTACGCTATTTTGAAGGCAAATCGGGGGATTAATGTAACAAATAAAGCCATTAAGCAATAATAAGTGAATTGAACACCTTGTCGATCGTTCTACGGACAATTGGATGAATCGTTTCGCATTAATTAAAACGAGCGTGCTTTGCAAAATGCAACTACATTCTCACTATTCAGTTTAGTTCTTATTTTTTATAAGCGTTCCATAGAAGTGTAAATGTATTTATAAACTATTTTTAAACAAAGGTTGAATAGAATAATGTTAATTAGTCACACTGGTACCTGTCATGGTGAATTAGTGTGCTCACATTTATATATTTTGCATGAAGGGTATGCAAAATTCTGAAAAACACGTGTACATACATACATACACATGTATGTATGTACATATGTATTTGTGTAGATGACGATGAACAGCAATAACAATTTCAGAGCCAGACGTCGTGTCGCTCACAAGTTGTGAATTTGAAATTCAGTTACTGTTACTTCGTATTATCATTAAAAATTCAGGGTGCGAAAAGGTCGTGCGCTAAGGTCTTGCCCTCTACAATTAATCGAGAAATTTAATTCACGAAACAACAACAATTCTAAATATGTGCATGAATATACAGAGTATGTCTCTGTGTGTATGTACATATGTACATACATTTTGTTATTAGAGCAAATTCAATTCAACTCAATTCAATTCAATGATGATGCTGAAAGCTGCATTGCATTCCTGCTGATAGAATGGAATGTTGCCCCACAAATGAGGAGCAGGGAGGGGCTACCAAGTGTATACATACATATTTGTATGTATGTACAGTATGTATTTTTGTTTGCTTGTGTGTATGCGTCTTGCACTGGTCTGAGGCTCTTTGTTGTTGGTTGCCTTTGACAAAGCGTGGCACACATTTAACAGCTCTCGCCTCCAGTCAGCTGTTTCCATTGTCTCTATGCTCCAACAGCTTCAACGACCTAAGCTTTTGTTGTTGCTACATTGCTGTTATTGGCGTTGTTGCTACTGTTGTTGTTTTGTTTATTTGCCTAAAAAACGCTGGCGCAGCAATAAATGCCGCCAACATTTACACAAAGTTATTTGAACAATTGCAAGCAAAACAAAAGCTAATACCTCATCCCTCCACCCACGACGCAACTCCCCACCAACATTCGTTCCAGTGTACACCCACGACAGGGGGGTGTGTTGCTGTGTGTCCAAAATGAAAATGGCAGCAATTGTTTAAAAATAAAATTAATTTCCAAGTGCTGTCGCATAATAATTAAAATATATAAAAAACAAAAAGAAAGAAAGCAAACAAATAAGCCTCATTGTATGGGCGATAGTCGTCCGTCGTCTCTTATCAGCACGCAAATATATGACTCAGCAAACAAAGCAAGCACAACAACAACAACGACAACAGAATTTGTGCCGTACATGGAAACGTGGCAATTGACGATTTGGCCAGCGATGTCAGCCTAGTGGGTGTCATTGATGGTTACCAGCATGTCAAGCAGGATATCCACACTCAGTCACACATACATACAAACATATATACACACACACGTACATTTGTATGTGCAGCTTTTAAATTTTAATGAGCTGTACGAAAAGAAAGCAAGCTGCAAAGTTCAAGTCGCGGTGTTGACAAAGACAACAATACAAACAAAACAAAACTTAACGATAAACCATTTTAAACGACGGTTTATAAATAAATACACACACATATACAAATTACACAGCCATAGACATTCCTTTCTTTCGATAAGCCGACTTGGCTTGCGGCCGCAATAGAGTGCAAATTTATTTAAGACTAACAATGATTATTTAAAAAAAAAAGGAGGGTATACATATACATATAAATTATATTGCTTGAAAACTTACGCCAACATTTACTGTTGCACTCAAATGCTGCGCAATGCGATTGAGAAATTTCCTGAAGGACGAGCGACGCAACACACGTGCATGATTGCCGGCAGCACGCTTGTTGTTGTTACTGCTGCTATTGTTGTTGTTGTTGCTAGTACTATTGCGAATGTTGTTGCTCATACTTGTATTGTTGACAGCCTGTGTGGAGCGATTGCCATTGGTGTCCTTGCACATAATCGCATCATCGTAGCTGTTTAATGATATTATGCTGCCGCTACGTCCCCTCGCCCCACTCACACAGGACGATATGGCAGTACTGCTTCCGCCACCACCACTACCGCCACTACCTTCTTTGCTCGACATGGCCGTCTTCAGTTTGCGAGACCAACCAAACGGATTGCGTGGCATGGAGAAGGCGCGCCGTATCTTCTTGGCGGCATTTGTAGCCAGAGTGGAGGCTTGGGTTGCAGGAATGATTAGCACTTGAGGCGTTGTTGGCGTTGGCGTTGCCGTTGTTGCTGCAATGGTCACAACATGCGTGGGCTGTGATGACAGCGTCTTCGACTTTTGATCCGTTTGTTCTTGTTGTTGTTGTTGTTCAGCTGTACTTGTATTCGATTGCTGCTGCTCCTCCTCCACTATTTTTTGCGTTGGTGTTGTTGCTAATGTTGTTGTTGTGGCATTTCTGTGGGTGGCGCCCGCTGCTGGCACAGGCACTGCGGCGTCGCCATCGTTTTGTTGTTGCTCTTTTGTGCCCATTTCCGAATTAACGCGCTTTGTTTTGTCACATAAAGTAATTGCACTGAGAATTTGTTGATGTTTTAGTAAACGGAATTGACTTTATTAGCAGTAGATTTCACTTTTTAATGCACTTTTACAATACGAAAATCTTTTTTCGTTCCCTTGCTTGTCTGCTTCTTCTTCTTCTCCTTCTATAGTGTTGGTGACCCACTCACTCTTCGAGACTTTTTCACGCCACGCGTATGCAAATACTTTCACTTTTTTACAACAAACCAAACCACACACAAAATAAATATTGCCAATAACATTTGCAAAATAAGCTCTGCATTAGCCGTAATTTGTACGCTTCGTTTTATTACATCTTCTTTTTCAATAATGTCCGACAATCCGACAACCTCCTTTTACCGACTTTACTTGCGCTTTGGTGCAAAGCAAACACAACCTTAAGTCTAGTGTGACCACCTAATTTTATTTTAATAAAGGTTTTGTTCTTGGTACATAGAAAACGAACGGCCACATTAATAAACTTTATTTACCACGACTTACCTTACTCACCATACCGTAAAATATCGGTCCAGCAATCGATGACGCTGAACATCGATATATTGTACCATAGCAGCAATGCGGACAAATGGCAGTTAGGCCACTGTTTAGCTCAAATTTTCGTTTGAACAATGAAAGTACTATAGACAGTAATATGGTGTAATGTATATACAAACATATGTGTATGTCCCATATATATGTACTACACTATAAATACAGCTGCGCAACAGGAATGTAGCCAAACAATATTTGCTCGTCAAGAGATAAGCATCCATAATCCGTGCAAACAGTGATATTCTGAATTAAATCAAATACAATTAAAAAAGCAAACAGTATACTACTAATAAAAAGAAGTAATCACCACCACCATCAGGTAAGCGTCGAATCTTGAGCGGAATTTCTGTATTATCATAGAAAATGTACATGCAATTGTCACGTTTATTGAAAGGCCTTTGTTGGTATATAGTATAAGGTGTGTTCTGGATGAATGGAATAACAGGTGTGCGCATTGCACAAATAAAAAGAAATTTCACAATAAATTTAATATTGCGGTTTAATTTCCATATTTGCTCGACCTTTTGAAATCAAATACCTATTTTGTCAAAACATTCCATTAACAAACAAGAATTGTCCAGAACTCTAAAAATTTGTTGTGTCACCAACCACGAACCATTGGCACAGATTAAAGATGCTGCAAAGTAATAGAAATATAAACAGACGGCAATGGTACCTTTGAACTGATAGTACCAATCAATGATAAGGCAAAAACCACTTTGAAACAGACTTAAACCGGTTTCCGATGGCAAAAGCACAACTTGGACTATCTAGGCTGGCTGGCAGACAGGCGAACCGTCGTCGTCACACGTCCGCGCCGCCGTTCATCAAAATAAGCTTATTAATTTAATAGCTTCGAACCATGCGCTATATATAAAAAATTACCAGATTTGACCTTATTCACTGATAAGCCAAGCTCTGTTGTCTATTATACCAGTTCATAATGAGCACGGTGTTTTTTTCATAACCAGCATAATCCGGATTTCAACAAACAGGCCCCCTCAATTACAAACAATTTGTATTGCGCCGAAATCGCTTTTCGATCTTTATTACCTATATAGCAAATGCCTTTTAATCAACATCTACGTCCTGAAGTTGCAGCAGTTGTGTGGTTTCATTACCGCCCGTCGTTGTCGGTGTTTTGTGCGCACTTAACGAAATTGTTGAATCACTCTTACGGGGATGATGGCGTCGTTTCTCCTCCCATTCCTTGCGATGCACTTTCTTGCGATGTGCATGCATGTTGGCATTAGAGTTGAACGTTTTCGGGCAATGCGGACACGTGTACAAAACTTCCCCGGTGTGCGTGGTTAGATGTTCCTAAGCGAGAAGAAGCTAGGCATTTCAAAAAATATGATTATATCATTTACTTACTCGCAGCTCATTGGGCCGTTTAAACGCCTTCTCGCACATCGGGCACTGGTGGGTTCGCGCCGTATTGTGGGTGTACTTCATGTGATGAAGATGTGCCTGCAGAGTTGGTGAAATTTTAAAGCAAATCTCACACTGTCTAGGCTCTAAATTCTCGGCAGTGTGCATCATTTTAATGTGGCGTGCTAGACCATATTTGGTTGTTAGAGCGGAGCCGCAGAGATGACACTTAATAGGCTTTGATGGCGCGCCCGTGTGCTCCTCCATGTGGCGGGCCAAAGCTTCTCGCCCCCGTATTGACTTGCCACAAACGTCACAGATCTTTGCATACATATTCAAATGCACCAACTTAACGTGCTGCTGCATTGTGTACTCGTTGGGGAAGCTGTAGAGAAAACAATTAGTTATTTTATTGAGGTGTTAGAACAATCACTGAAAGCTACTAACGTTTTTTCGCAAGTAGAGCAGGTAGCTTGCCACTGCTCCTTGGGAATGTGCGTCAATTTGTGTCTTTCAAACACCACCGAACTGAAAAAGCTCTTCCCACATTGTTCACACTTGAGGAGCCGACCTCGTTTCTTAATGTCGTGCATGCGCAAATGAAGTTCCAGACTTCTTCGTTGTCCCATCACACGCTCACATATGTGACATTTGAAGAGTTCGGGGTCCTGATGTCGTCGCAGATGGTCGACCAGTACCCCTCTCTTCCAAAATTTTCGACCACAACATAATGCATAGCCCCGAGTCTTGTGCTCCTGGCGAGCATGCACTAACATCTCGGAGAAATCCTCCATGGGGGTGCTGCAAACGTGGCAGTGGACTTTGTAGTGCTCCTTGATATATTCATTAAACTCTTGCGACTTTTGTATGTTGTGAATGCCCGCTCCTTTTGGCTTGCCTTTGTAAGACTTTGCAGTTTTTCGAGGTTTCTTCCGTGTGGGTTTCTCGTCCTCGCTATCGCAGGCGCTTGGCGGCGCATAATCAGATACATCGTGCTCATCATCTTCCTCCTGCTGATCTTCCAGCACATCAGCCATGGTTAGATCGGCCTCAGGAAATTCTATTTTGATCTCGTTCAAATTGATCTGCTCCAGAACGGCTTTTAGATCGCTACCGTTGTCACATACTGCATCATCAGTGGTTTCCGTATCAGGCACAGTTGGAAGCGGCATGGGTGTAGGTGTGGGAGGCTTGGGCTTTGCTTTAGGCGGACGTCCACGTCGACGTTTGACGGTTGCGACCACAGTTTCGATTTCAGTGCAATTTCCCTTCGTATCCTCAGAGTAAGCAGCAGCAGTTCCTTTGCCCAATATTGCCTCCACTGGAAGAACTGTGACTGTTGGAGTTGTTTTAATATCGCTTATGGTTAATGCCATGTGCGCTTGCTCCACGCTTAAATAAAAGCTGTGAAATGACGAGAGCTGTTCCCAACACATTGCACAAATGCAATGCATGTCCCCGATGCCATCTGCAGTCTGAAAATGTTCATATTGTTATCTAGTTGTCTTACTTTGTTTTATTTCTTACCCTTAGCCGCCAGAAATGCTTTTCAATTATACACCTTACATTCAGCAACTGGGCTTCTTTGGAATCAAAATCTATATTTCCAGCAGTGCCTTCCGTGCACTGGGTGCACAGGAAGCACGTCATTTTATATCTCAAGAGAGTTAACGAGTAATATTGTAGATATTTAATATTCTGTCGTTTTTGTATATATTGTTTTCTAGTTGGTTACTTTGTGGTATCACTTGGTAACACTGCACTCGGCGAAAGTACTACCCATCTAGAGACTAGTATTCTTGTTGGTGGTATTATTGTTGTTAATATCAAACAGCTGATATGCTGGCCAAACTGTGATGAGACTTGGTCACAACCATTTCCGAGTCACAGGAATAAGCATTGTGCGTCTTTCGGCCCATTGCGACGTTAAATTAAATCACTTAACTTAAATTGTTTACGCGCTAAATTTGGCCTCGAAATGCATCTCATCTAATTTAATGTCCAAAGTTCAGACTTAGCATCAAATAATTTGCTTCTATGAGCCTCGGATTTTGATTTAAGCTAAAGGTGCGTGTGTGTGCAGTCTAGACATTGTTTATTTTTACAATTATCTTTATTCTTGCTAAATCTCAATTAATATCTTCCACAAAGCTGTTCCGTTTTATTTAGTTCATACAACCTTCTCTTATCGGTTAGCTTAATTGTACTGATAAGATAAGCCAAACATAAATACTCAGGTGCTTTAATTGCCTATTCAAATTTGATTTTTTGTCTTTAGTTGGAGACGCATTTTCAGCGAATCATTAAACCATGGATGTTCAGATAAATCGTGTGGTGCCAGATGGAGGCTATGGCTGGATTGTGGTGGCTGCCGTAGCCGTTATTAATGTAAGTTAAATAAACAAATTCATAAATGAGGAACTATGATATGATAGATTGTTTTTTTTTACCTTCCTACAGATGACCAATCAATCCATACTTTCTGTGTTCGGACAACTCTTCGTGGGTGAGCTGAAACGCATGCATGAAGACACCTTTACTGCTGCGCTTATAACGAACCTGAATAGCTTGGCCCTTAACTTTTCGGGACTGTTTATTGGACCAGCCATCAAGAGTTTTAAGCCTCGCAATGTGGCCGCTACTGGCTGTGTACTAGTTTCCCTTGGCCTGGCGATATGTTCCTTAGCTACCGAGGTCTGGCACTTTGTAATCGGATACAGCATCTTTGTGGGATTTGGGTTGGGACTTATTTCGCCGTCTACATTTATGGCCATTAACTCGTACTTCAGTAGCAAGCGCGGACGCGCAGTTGGCGTATCTTTAGCTGGTGCTGGCGTAGGTCAGGTGTTTATACCTCATGTTGTGGAATACTTTTTAAATAATCACGGTTTTCGCATTGCTGTGTTGGCTATGGCTGCTCTCTCTTTAACTGGGGTTAGTATGGCAATTCTATTTTTGCAAGATTGTTTTGTAATTAAATTATTCTTCGTTGTTGTCTTTTCAGCTGTTTGGTGCAATGTTTCTGAAACCCTTGAACCCACCTAGAAAACATAACAATCGCAAGCATATGCGTCTCTTGGCAGATACTGAGGACAAGAAATTGACAAATACTCTGCAGGGCGTGATTATTCAAACCGCTGAAATTAACTCACCAGCCATTGAGAAAGTGGAAAAATCCGAAAGACTGTGCGGAAAAATGTGTCATCGCCTAGTGCAGGCCATGGATTTAGAATTGTTGAAGGATGCGGTGTTTTTAAGCATCATCATTGGAATGGCTCTGGTTTACACTGCCACTATTAACTTCACGATGGTCTTTCCCAGTTTTCTCCAACAAACGGCTGGATTCGATAGTAAAATTGTCGCTTCGTGTATGTCGGTTGTGGCTAGCGCCGATATAGTTTTTCGCCTACTCTTGCCGTGCATAACAGATCGGTTGAGGATCTCCTACCGCGTCGTATTTCTGTTGGGAACTGCTGGCCTCCTTATTGCACGCTTTGTCATGGCAGCAAAATCGACCAATTTAGTGGTCATTGTTGCAATGTCTGCCTTCATGGGCATGTCCAAATCCGCCACCGTGATCAATAACAATCTTACAATTTCGGCGCATTGTCGTTCGGAGAAGTTAGCTGGTGGTTTGGGATTAAGCATGATTTCCAAAGGCATTATTGTCATAACGATTGGTCAGTTGCTTGGCTGGGTACGCGACTACGCTGACTCCTACGTGATCTGTTTATATGCCCAGATCGTGATCCTGCTGCTGGTTGTTGTGGTGTGGACACCAGAAATTTTGTGTCGCTTTAGGAAGCAGATGAATACGACTTCGAAATCAATTGAAACAACTACTGAGGCTGCGCCCGAGGAAGCTGCAAAATTGAACAGTGTTTCATAATGGCCAGGCACTTTATAAGGACTAATGTGATATTAGAATGTGCTGAGAGAAAAGACCATTGCTATAGTAGCGCTAATATTTTTGGTAATATGCATTAATTTTAAGCTATACCTCGACTTATTTATTATCATTTAGCACCTAAGTGGAAACCATTTTGTACTACAACATAGAACATAATAAATGTACGAACCAAATGAATATATTTATGAACCATTTTATATTCTGGAGTGTTTACAACGCCCTTCACATATTCTATATTAATTTATTATAAATCATTAATTCACTGCCAATTGGGGGGTATTTATAACCTCTGGTTCGCCTGATTTTGTGTTAAAGAACAAGCGGCGCTCAACTCCATCCTGGGTAATGATGCCAATACGAACTACACCTCCAGAGCTACCGTCGTGGTAGATGGCATGCTTCACAGCTGCGAATGAAATATATGTTTCGTTGTAGATTATCTTTAGTTATTAATCCCATTTTACTAACCTTTCTTTACGAATTCTACACATTCCTCCATTGCCATGCCTTCGCGGTAGTGCTCTCTAACGAAGCCGTAAATATAGCTCGAGCCGGAGCCTCCGATGGTACAGGGCTCACGTACCAGCATACCACCTACTGGAACATTGTAAACCTGGCCACCAAGCTGTTTATCCCAACCAGCAACAATAATGCCGGCTAACAGAGAGTCGCGATAACTGTAGCAATAGTTGCGAAACTCTGAAGCTGCCTCGAATACTGTCGCAGGCTTGCTCATCTGATTCTCGTGATAGTTTAGCGAATAGGCCACAATGTCGGCAATGGCCTGTGTATCAGCGGCAGACCCACTGCGGCAGCAATAGATATGATCAGTAATGCGAGTAAGCTTGTCAGTGACCCGATTGGCCACATAAGGACCGGAGCTGGTGCGAGAATCAGCGCCAACCACGACGCCGCCATCAAATTCTACGGCCATAATTGTGGTCTGTAAACAACCCTTGCATTACTAAATTTAGGGCAAATGAATTGATTTTAAACTTACGCCGGTGCTGACGGGGGTATTGGTAAAGTCAAACGATTCCATCTTGAATTATTTTTACAGATACAATTCTTCGAAAATAAAAGCCGACCAGAAATGACTGGCTATTTTGAAGAGTGGTGGCAAGTGACGAAAAAAATCGTTGACTGCGACTTCACAACACTGGAAGTCGCAGGGCTGCTGTAAAATCGTTCGCCCGCTAGACCGGATAAGCTATCGATAAGTACACGCACATGCTGTTAAAGTTGGATACATTTGTTTTGTTTTAGATTTTGAAAAAATTTGAACCCATAATGGCTTACGTCGCACTTAGCGAAGCGGAAAAAACATTTATATTGCATGGCGTAGAGGTATGGGTACTTACTTTAATGGTGTTATCTTATTACAACTTCAGCATGCGAGTTTTAGGAGGATTATCGATGTGATGGCCGCTCCCGGCGAGATTACAGGCCAATGGAGCTTGAAACTGGTCTGGTGAGCAATGCCAGTGGCTCTGCACGCCTGCGTCTGGCAAACACTGATATATTAGTGGGCGTTAAAACAGAAATCGATGTGCCGCATCAATTAACGCCAGAGTTTGGAAAACTAGAGTTCTTTGTTGACTGGTATTTACAAAAATGTAGTTCTTGTATTTAAAATGCAATTAAAAATGTATTTTTCAATTACAGCTCTGCAAATGCAACACCCGAATTTGAAGGTCGTGGAGGGTCAGATTTGGCTCAGGAACTGATTCTTTCACTTAAGAATGCCTACGAATCCCCTTTTGCATTTGACTACCGCAGCTTGTGCCTCATCCCAGGTCAACAATGCTGGAAGCTTTACATAGATATATTGGTAACATTAGCCTTTCAATGCAAAACTGGGACTGTTTGAAATTCATCTGATTTTCATTTGTAGATATTGGAGTGCGGAGGTAACCTCTACGATGCCGTGTCTTTAGCAGCCAAAGCAGCGCTGTTCAATACAAAACTACCCCGTGTGACAGCTACATTGTTGGACGCAGGCATAACTGATCTCATAATATCCGATAATCCATATGACTGCACACGTATAGGGATCGAGACGGTGCCATTGTTGGTCACCGTGTGTAAGATTGGCGACTTCTGCCTGGTGGATCCATCAGCCGAGGAAGAGGCATGCAGCACAGTAAGCATGGTTGTGGCTGTATCGCAGCGAAATAATGAAGGTAATCCTCTTATTAAGCACCTGTACCATTACAGCACTTATGATACATAAAATTAATTCCAGCTTTCCTGTCCGGCACGCACATGACAGGCGGTGGTTCCATGCACAGAGACACTATGCTCAATTGCCTGCAACTCGGACTTTCTATTGGTGATTACTTGGATAAGTTACTTGTTAAGATGCTTAAGCAAGAGCAAGAGCGTGTGGGGCCTAAGCGGCCCAAAATTGTGGGATTTCTTAAATAAAAGTGATTGGCAAACTTTTTTTTTTCTCATATTTATAAACAGAACTCGCGTTATGAAATTTGACTACTTTACGAGAAAAATTTACTAAAATTCTTAAGCTTAGATTAGCCCCTGATGTTGATAATAGGGGCCCTCAATAAATGTAACTGCTTACTGTTGTTGTTGGCTACGTTTTTTAGTTTGTTTGTTTGCCATGACTGGTTTCTTCTCTTTCTCCGGCTGCTTGCCAGAGAGGAAAGAGGTCAACATTTCACTAATTTCGGGCATGTCATTCGTCATCTTTGGGAACTGCATGTTCTCGATTTCCTTCTTTGTCTCAGGGTCGTTGATCATTTTCGGTAGGACCAACATAAGGAGCAGCGGCAGAACCATCATTAGAACCATTGGACTGAACAGGAAGTCGGTGATCTGTAATTTTAAAGTCAATGGTCAATATGGTGGCACAATAAATTGACATTTTCTTTTACAAACCTTCCATTGTTCTCTGGCCTGGAAGTACTTGAGGCGCATAAGTGGCTTCATTTTCAGTGGATAAGGTACCTGAATAATTTGCGCGGGCTGTACAAAGTTCACCTTGCGTGCACGGAATTTACCCTTTGGATTAATTTCAACGCGTACCTGCATATAAAATTGCTTTAATGCCGATCATGATACTCACTAATTAAAAGGTACACTTACGGGCTCGTAGAAAATGTCTGGGTGATTCACTTCGAGTACGTAGCTACCGGATGGAACGCCACTGATGACAAAATTACCATCTTCCCGCAGAAAGCCCTTGATCTCACCATCGTTGATTGACAACGTCACGTCCACTTGCCACTTGCCGCTGGGTGCAGCAGCTCCAAGGAGCTGTTCCGGCGGGTAGACTTTGCCCTCAATTGTGTATAGTCCGGACACTTCGTCGATCTCATCTTGGCCAATTACGACCTCGCAAGTACTCAGGGCTATGAGTGTTACAAATGATAGCAACTTCAGAAACATTTTTTCGTCAAAATTAAACAAATTAATTAATAGTCATGCGCGTGAAAATATTCCTATTGCTATCTCTCAAATAAAATCGATTACACGTTAACCAATCGATTGCCATCGCTAAAATATCTACAGCTGATTGATGGCGCGTAGATGAATTTATAATTTTAAATGTTTAGGTAATTTCCGCAAGTGCATTTTAATAGTTTTACGATGTACTGAAAATTTATAGAGTATAAATGTCATTTATATAAAATAATTAATTTTATGATTACATTTTTTAAAAGAAGTAAATTTTGTTATACATAAGTTTTGTTATACATAAATTTTGTTATTCATATTGCTAAATAACTTCATTTCTATATACAGATGTATATATATTTCCTATGTATATATAGATGAGTTCGCATCAAAAATGATTATACGTTTTTGTTAATATAAAATGTATTTAAATGACATATAAAAACTTAATACTGGGTACAGAGAACCCAAGGAATTATTATATTTTATTTATTTTGAATTTTTTCCAATTAAAATACGGAGAGGCATTAGATCGAATGCTGTCTGTACTCACTTGTTACCCGCAACATGCTAACCAGCTAAACTAAGGCTAAGACAGCCAACAAGCCAGTTAATACTCGGACGGTCGCTCTTAGCTTTAGTCGTTGGCGGTATCGCGTTCTGTTTGGTTGTGCCTCAGCTCATAGCTCTGAAACGTTATTATTTGGCCGAATTGGGCTTTTTACAGGCGAGCAGTGCCTCGACGTTTTGAAATAAATTTTAGGTTAGTGCGTGTTTGACAAACAAGTTTTAAGTTATTTCAATATGCAAGTATGTGTGTGCGTATGTTGTTCTACATACCAAGCTAAGCGACAGATGCAGGTGCGCCAAAATAATGGCCCAAACAAATGAAAATAGCTAGTTTTTACCAGCAATATGCTAATACTAGCAATAAATAACAAGTGAATTCGAAAGTGAAATTAAAAAATGGATATAAAAACCACACCCACGGCAAATATTTTCAGAACTTGCGGCACAAGTTAAAGTTTAAGTTGTTTAAATCTATTGTATTTATGCACATGACACTAATAGGAAACAAAAACAACATGTTTTAGAGACAATCATCGCTGAGATCATAAAAATTCCAATGCGAGTGTGACTGAGATTGAGAGTTGAAAGAGAGCGTACAAATATACCCGTACATGAAACAAAAATATGTTGTCTTTAAATCTGCTGTTGTTGATTTTTTTTTTAAGTTGGCTATGTCGCATGTAGTTTGTATTGTGTTGCTGGAACCGGTTTCCAGTAATGATGCTGTGGTGTGTGTTTGAATCGGTCATAATAATAATAATATCACAAGCTCTCTCGCCGGCTGCCGCAGCTTTGGATTTCAATGGCAATACGCAACGCATTCTAATACAATGGCAAATAATTAATTAAACAACTTTTTTATGCATCTAAAAAAGAGAAAAAAATAAAACTTGCTTTTAACTAGAGTTGCACATCCAAAGATTGTACTATGTTTGTATATATATACATGTATGTGTGTGTGTGTGTGTGTGAGTGATGTCAAGCGTCGCGCATGCGAACAACAAGTGCACAGATTTTGTAATGTCTGCGAAGAGAGTGCGGATGGCAAGCAACAATGAAAAAAATATACATGCATACATACTTGTACATACATATAACAATGAAAACAAAATGCATAAAAATCTAAAAGACAGTACCCACAAAACGGGCAAATAATGAGTGACTGAGACCGAGACTCTGACTGAGAAGGGCGTGTAGAGTCAGTTAAGGCATTAAAAAACGTGTTTATCTTCGCAACTTTATGCAGTTTCTGTTGGCCCAACTGGACGTGACTGTTACTATTATTTGTGGCACACTTTTCATCTTAGTGTCTAACAAAAGTATTTTTACGCAAGGCCTAAATTGTTGATAGGCCATACCACTATATAGTTGCCCTGAAGCTATTTACCACTTTCTATTTACATTAACAGGCACACAAAAATTCGTTAATTGTGTGTTTGATTTTATGTGTGTCAAAGCTACAGTAAAAAATTTTGCGGCATTGCTATTGTATCGAGTGATTTAGTTTGTTTTGTTTACGAGTATACTCGTACTATAGAGAGAATGACTTGACTGTAAAAAAGAATACGAGCATTATGAGGTATGAGTGCATTTAATGATTTATTCGAGTAAGTGCTGGCGCAATGGCGTCATCGTCAACTCGAGACTTGCATTTCTTTGTAGCCTCAATGCATTAATTATTTATGTAATTAAAAGCAAACATTCAAGTAACTACTGTTTAATCAATATTTTAAAGTGTACGCTTCAATTCAATTCGAATACAGAATGAGCACCTGTTTAGTTCACACCCAAAAAGAGTAAATAAAATTTACATACTCTAACTATTTATTAATTGCGTATTTATAAATGGAAGGGGAATAGCTGTTTTCTCCGTCAACAATTATATATATTTTTTTAGAAATTGTCCCAAAACTTTTATATCTAGCATCTTAAATCAATATCTGAGCGCATGCCAGTCAATTATAAAAACCAAATTAGTCATGGACTAAAGCCCAGATACGACCTATGTATACATAGCTATGTAAGCACATAAAGTAGACATTCATAGACTGTGATATGAAAATCACACCTCGATTAAATGGCAAAGCAATTGTTTTGGAAAACGACAGTTTAGGCCCCAATATTGTGTGTCGATAATGCATAGCCCTATAAATCCATAAATAGAATCTATTGAAATTAATTGAAACAATTCTAGCGTAACAATCATGGCTACAAGGTCTTACGCTTGATGGAATCTATTGTAAGACCTAACACCAATTGAGTCTTTTGTCCTGCTCATATGTAAGGCCGTCCTATTCCAGTGCAGCCATTTCTTAAAGAATATTCCGTCTTTTAAAAAATAAACTACCACCAACAGTTCAAACAATAGCACCAAACGTTAACCTATTTTATTGTGTCGGCACGCGATTTCCAACTAAATTAACGTCAATATGCTACCAATGTCCAGCATTACCCTAGCAAATAGCCAGGCCACCCCCTTCCTGAGGTCAAAGGCCCGCATGATTGTTTACATAAATACAGTGAACGCTCGCAGCTTTGAACCAATGCTTAATTTTTGTAATATTGAGTTGTAAAGGAATAAAGCTTCTAAATTAAAATGTTATTCAATTTTGATAACATATTGTATGAAACTCTTTGGGTTTTGCAGCTCAACATTTCTTTATTGAACTGGAAATTCCGACATTCTTAAATGAGTATATCTCTGTTTTTTAAGGATTCGAAAATTTGTTCATCATTTGTTTAAAATAAACATGGTCAATACCAAATGTATTGTTTGAATGAGAAAATGTAAATTCTCAAGTGTATGAAGTTCCCATTTTTGAAACCAGATAAAAAAGGTCACTTGTCACAAGCAGATCATAAATATGTATTAGTATACTCACAAGTAAGTGCAAGAAAAAAGGGTCGCTGAAACCCAAGGCGGACCATAAGCATCTGGTATCGATTAGTGCGATGTCATATGCAGGTCAATTGAAGAAAGAACCAATTGAAAATACAGTCCACATACAAACAAGAGAAGGATATATGCACTTAATGTAAATTAAAGGGAACTGCACAAAGAGAAACTAGATGTACAAGTGTAGATCTTATGTAACAATTGTCTATATAATAAGCAACATTTTCAATCATAAATTTAGTTCGGGTTTTTAATTCACATCAGTTTTTGTTCAGAATCAAAGTATTCTTTAAATTAAAAGTAAATAATTTTAAAAGACTTTTTAAAAGACTTTGCTTGCCTTAAATAAGGTCATTTATTTGGTATTTGAAAATAGTGTTCTGTCAGGTCTATTATTATTATTAATAATATTATTTTAGCTGTTGGAAATATAATACCTAAACATATATGAAAACAATCCACATATTTTTTGGTGGCAAAAAATGAATATATTTGCATAAAAGGCTCAAACACTCAGGAATAAGGAGTTTCTATTCTTAAAATGAGATGGTAACTTACTTCTTTAACATAGAAACTATAGCTCAGAGCCAGTCATTTGCTTACAAATTTTTTCGAAATTAAGAAACAACGTAAAACAATAAAAAAGAATTTATTGCTTATAATTTCAGAAAGTAAGCACATGGAGAAAAGTATATATTTTCCTTCAATACAAATTAAACATAAAAGCTATTTTACTAATTTTTTGTGCTAATTATTAATTAATTTGAATCTTAAAAGTTATTTGTGCCTTTTTAGGCAACTGTCGCGGTCGCCATGTAATATTGAGAAAAAAACACGTTTGTTCGGCTCGAATTTCGGTTTTACTAATTTTGATTTTATATGAATCATTCAAGAATTGAAATAGCAAGCTGAAATCTTCTTAAAAATGAAAAGACCTACTATTTTTTTGAAATCACGAATTTTTGTTTGTATTTTTAAACAAAGTAGTGGAAAACTGATCCGAATGGTGGCTTTAAAATTGTATGATAATTATTTATTATTATTTTTGGAAAACTACTTAGCTTTTTGCTAGAAATAAAATAGCTTCATTTATTAAGTGACAAGCAAAGTAAATTTTATAACGTACTAATCTGCCTAATAATTTTGAAGGCATTAAGAGTACACCCACATTTGAATACGCAATTGCTTATAAGCTAAAAAAAAACTCACAAATTGAACATGCTTAATAAAGTAATTAGAGCTGTGCTGTCAACTTCAGGCACGATTTATTTCAGGTATGTACATAGATCTATATGTACATATAATATCGTATGCCTAAGCCATCAAAGTGTTTTGTATGCTTTGCGAACTGGCTCCAACAAGGGCACCTTACAATTAGTATGTATGTATGCATGTATATATGTATGTGGGGTATGTAAGTACATAACTATGTATGTGCATATCGCATAAGTGCTCAAGCCCACATCGACCACATAAAGTTTCATTGTTTTGTAGTTCAAGCTCTGCGGCATTGTTTGTGCTAATCAGTTTTGTCTCACGTCCAAAATAAAGTCAAAACTTAAATTCCGTCATGGACTTGGGGCAGTGGCCATAACCGCAATAACAGGCATACCCACACACACATACACACTCGTACCTACCAACATTTTTATGCACATTATTAATGTGCTAAGAATTTAATGTATAAAAACTTTTGTTATGACTTTGCATAAATGCACATAACGTTTCTGTGAAATCGAAATCGGAGAAATTTAATTTTCACTTTGCACAGTTGTCGCCTCTTAGTTGGCTTGCAGTGCCGGCCAAAAAGAAGCAGGCCAGCCGCCAATTTGGCTAAGTTCGTGTACGAGTACGAGTATACTCGTAGTCAAATAGCATTAGAGGCCTTTCGAAATCCGAAACGTTGTCGCTGTCAGTTCAAAGTGAATGTGATTTGCTCGAATCGTAGATAAATCACAAACGACCCGCAACGTGCGTCTGCTTTCAAGGTTTATCAAAGATCATTGAAAATGATGTGAACGCCCATTATGAGTGTGTGTGTTTGTGGTGTGTTCTTTTAATCCGAAAGCGCATATGCGCAGTAGCCAAACCTCAAAATAATAATATAATATAAAAATCCATTAGACAATGAATGTATCGAATTTGACTTTTCCTTTGTGTGCAGGTCGCAATTCGAATTAGCATTTTGTTAAACATTTCGTGTATAATAATAGCCAAAAGGAGTTACATATACGCATATATTTGTATGTACACATATGTATATGTTAAATGTACAGCGCTAATAACAAATTCACAAAAAAGCCGACCATTTCAAGGTTAAACATATATGCACACAAACATAGTACATAAAATTTCAATTCAAGTTCAATTCGCATTCTTACCAGCGTTTCGTATGAGTGACTGAATGAATGAGTGTATGAGTGTGTGTTATGGGTTTTTTAATTCATTATTGTTTTTTCTTTTGCTCTGACATGCTTTAATTTTGCGCCCCGACACACTAAACTGCGGTCTTTTTGTTTGTTCACCAGCCTGCCTGCCTGTGGCAGCGTCATGTCTCGATGACGCATGCGCACCTGAGTTGGCGGCTAACCTTAGCCTCTTGCCTTATAAGCATGTTGATTCAGCCAATTAGCATAGATGTCGAATATTTGTCATGCCTGCTGAGAAAAATACTCTGAAAGCAGCTTTCGTATAAAACCCAATAGCGAACAAAAAAAACCTTGTTGTACCCCAAATCTCTTTATATGATAGCTGGTTTGTTGGCTTCCTTTGAAAACTTCAATCATAATTGTAATCGAGAACGTAATGCCCGTTTACCTGAATGAGAGCTACAGCCATTAAATTAGGTATGTGGGTTTGATTATTCGAAATAGAACTAAATGGTTTACCTATTCTTTCGTGTAATTGATCAATCATAGCAAGTGATTAAATTTGCTAACTGTTTAGTAAATGAAATGATTTTTGGCCGAGAGAGGAGTTAAATGTGTTGTCATCTCGTCATATATCTAAATGCATCAACCGGAGAACAAAATAAGCAATAACTGGCATAAACAACATTATAACGACAGCTTATCGATGCAATTTTTTTAAAACATTTAAACATATTTGTTCAATAGATGATTGGTAAGAATTTGGGAAAGGTTATCTATGTATAAACACAAATATAAGATACTTACTGCCGTCAGTTCACAAGCTATTGGGTTTGATAAATAAATGAAATGATTCTAATGATTTTAACAACATTTCAGCTAAAGCGGGCGTGTCTTGAATGTGCTCTTGAAATTAATGTCTTATTATTTGTTTGCTTTCTATTTTTTTTGAATGTCTATAACCTTGCTTAAATACATACTCATGCATATATATATAACAATTCAATTTAACTTAAATAGATCAAAGTCGAAACAGAATCAGTCGAAACAATCTCACTACAAATACCTGCTTCTCATGATTGGATGACAGCGAAAGGGTCCGCCAAGCCTCTAACATGTTTATGGAAAAATTAAAATATGAATTAAAAGAAAACATTTATAAAATAGCGTTTAGTATTATTACGTTTTAGCTTCAGTTCTTAATTACGTTTTTATAGTATAGCTCCAGCGTTGTTTCCTTCGAAATAAATATTTTAGTCGAATAATATTTGACTTGAGTTTTATGGTTTTGTTTAGCCAAAAGGCATAGCAGAAATATTCTGGTAGCATTTAAAATATTAACATGTGTTAATTGGTTCTTAGCATACAACAAAAACCAGTCTTTCACATTCATAAAATCGTTGTTGTTTTCTGGGTAAAACCCAACATCATTATGCGTAGCGAGCTCCAATCTTTCGCTCTTCCTTCCTGGCATACTCACTCACTTCTGTATATATTTTCTCACGAGCCAAGTGCCTTTTAAGCTAAGTGAACGAAAAGCAAAAGTCATGTTGTGATTCACATTTTTGGTGTGTGTTTTATTTTTAAGGAAATGGCCTTGTTAGAGTTCAATGATTTAATGTTTACCTTTATCGGAGATTATTTGTTACTACAAGTATATTCATTATCAGAACTTTTAATATTGCCATTAAAACGCTCAGCGACTAATTAGTTAATCACAAATGCGCCTAATTTATTACGCTTCATATTAATTAATACATATGTGCATACTCACACATACATACATATGTGCATGTATATGTATTGCATATGTATTCAAAAATTATGTATACGCACCAATGCCTACAACGTTTGCTTTTAAAATCAGCAAAGCATGGCATTACGATAAGCATGATAGCTACAAAACAGAAAGCTAAATGGTGTTAAACGAAATGTAGTATTTAATTTGATGAAAAAGTATTGTATTATCGCTGATGACGATCGGCGCCGCAGACATGCGTAACTTGTAAATGCCGCCGTCTCCTCTTCCTGCTTCACTCTCATCGCTTTGGAAAGTGTTGGCGTTATCAGAGAGACCATCTCCGGCACATCACATATTGTAGCAAGCTACACTGAGAGAAAGAGGCCTTGTAAAATCTCAAAATTTGTTCTGAAGTCAAGCAGATTTGTTTGACTTTTGTTATTTCAAAGTTATGAAATCTCTTACAAAATTGCTTCAAACACAAGAAATATTAAGGTGTTCAGAAAAAAGAAATGGCAAGTTCTAAGTAGAATAGGCTTAAATTCATGGCATTTAATATTTTATATTTTGTAGAATTCACTTAAAGAATAAAATAATATGAAAGGTAAAAGTTGGATAAATGCTGAGCTTTTTCACGTGAAGTGTGGTCTTAGATGTTGTGGAGCAGCACTGGGTTCACCATTTATTTGTCATTGAAAATATCATAAAATATAGCAAAAAAAATATATTATAAGAGCTGAAAACAATCAATAAAATAGTTCAATTTAGTTGAATCAAACAAAGTGGAACAAATATTTGTATATGAAAAAAATAAACCTTCGGCATCAAATCAAAGCTTTTCATTAAAACAAAAAGTGTTATCACGATAACCGAAAATTCATGTATTTGAATACATAAATAAAAAAGAAGCTTAATTTTAGCAACGCAAAGAATTAAAATTGTATATACAAAGTACTTTACTTCTAATCGGGAAATAAAATCTAATTTAGGTCTTCAAGATAAGTAGTTCTCCTCCTTTAATAGAACAATTTTTACTTCAAATGAGTACTATTTTTATACCTCCTTAACTATTGACACCGTTTGTAACTTTATTAAGGACAGAAAATCTTGTTTTTTTTTTAATTCTAAAAAGCGTACAAATATGATTATATTCCCCTTTACGGATGGTGCCTATAGCCGGACAAATTCGGTTGCCACAACCTATTAACTTCTTAATGCCAAAATATGTTCTTGTTCGTATTAATTTATTTTTACTAAAAACCTATTTAGTAAAATAGCAAATGTATAACTAAGATTTTCCTAAGTTTTTCTGAGTGCATACGTATATACATCAGATATATTTGTAGATTGGTAACTACCAGTAGATGGGCATGTAACAGATACACACACTTCCACTTCAATCTCAACAACCGCCCACATACGTAACGTGGCCAAAATCGGCACAAACTTCAGAGTGAGTGAGTGCAATTATTTATGCCATATAGTAATTAAAGAGTGGCCCGTCCCCCATCACCCATCACCCCCCCGCCCATCTGACAAAATCTGTGACGGCACAGTAGCAACGCTTGAATGTGCAGACAGACACGGTTCGGTTATGATTACTTTGTGCTTTGTTGGTCGCGCGACACTAATGTGATTTCTGTTTTATTTGTATTTTTTTTGTTCTTCTTATTGTTGACATTTACAGGTGCACAACAAAGGCTAAAAAAGTGAAAAATGTCAGCGCTTTGGTTGCGAACACGAGTGCTTGGTGCGCTGGTCGTGCTACACATCGTCGGTTCGTGGACGCCCGGCATGAGTTTACCTCAAGGTGCACCGGAAACTGTGTGCGACACAATGTTGCCATTCCACGGTGGCGGCATCTTGCCCGCCAACAGCGTCTCCCCCTTCAGCATCGAGACGTCAACGTCCGTGATCGGACAGGGCCAAACGTTGCGTGTGGATGTAACTGGCGTGCCAACGGGCCTTAGCTTTGGTGGCTTCATGATACAGGCGCGCAATCGCAACCCACCCTATCAAATTGTAAGTGCCATTATAATTCCTTAGATTTGTAAACTTTAAATATTTTGTGTATAATACTCAATTGCTTGCCCATTCCTGAGATTTAAACAGAAAGATTCATAAGCATTAACAAAATTTTACCTATTTTATAAAGCTAATCGAGTCAAGAAATTAATATTCATACGGTTTATCAAGAGAGTGACAAAAAAGAAATGCATGGCCTGTTCAAAAAAAGGCAATTTTTAATTTTTTTTAAAACTATTTAAATATTCATCAATATATCATCAAGTTATAGAAATATGAAAACAATTCTTTTATACATAAACAAGTTTTTTACCTATTTTATAAAGCTAATCGAGTCAAGAAATTAATATTCATACGGTTTATCAAGAGAGTGACAAAAAAGAAATGCATGGTCTGTTCAAAAAAAAGGCAATTTTTAATTTTTTTTAAAACTATTTAAATATTCATCAATATATCATCAAGTTATAGAAATATGAAAACAATTCTTTTATACATAAACAAGTTTTTTTTACCTATTTTATAAAGCTAATCGATTCAAGAAATTAATATTCATACGGTTTATCAAGAGAGTGACAAAAAAGAAATGCATGGTCTGTTCAAAAGCAACACAACTTTGCATTTTTTTTTTTTTTTGAAAAATATTTTTTAGTTCATCAATATATCATTAAGATATAGTGCACAGCTAGAATGAAAACAATTATTTTATACATATAGAGATTTTTCCCTATTTTATAAAGCTAACCGAGTCTTGAAATTAATATTCAAAACAAAAAAAATAGATGGTCTGTTCAAAAAAAGGCAATTTTTAATTTTTTGTGAAAAGTATTTATTTATTAATCAATATATCATCAAGATATAATGCACTTTATCAGGAAGCTCATGTTGGCTAGTCGCATCATGCTCATCCCGCTCGGTGACGAGTCTGAGCTAATGATTTGTGTATCTATCCTTATCATCCTTATCTATTATCTATTGAGCAGGCGTCTGCCAGCTACAAAAAGGTCGGTGTTATGCTCGGCATCTGAAGCCGAACTCATTATAATCTGTGCTAGAGAGCATGTCTGTGTTTCTCATCGAGTTTTCATCTTTAAGAATGCGATAATGTACACTCCGCCTAGACAGAGCAAATCTAGCTTATCAATAAATTTACGTTTGTTTAGGACCTATTGATAGTATTTAACACTGTGTTTTGAGACGCTCAATGAGCAATTATTTCAAATGAATTTCATTATAATAATATATTAATATCTTCATTATATTCTTTTTTTAATTTGACAATTTTTTAATGTTTCTGCAGATTGGACAATTTGGACCGTCGCGTGATGGCACCGTCAAGCTCATGAACTGCGAGAATTCTGTAAATAATTCAGCCACGCACAGCAATGCTGGTGCCAAGTCCCAGGTGAGCTTGGAATGGGAGTCGCCAGTCGATTTCATGGGTCAAGTGGTTTTCAAGTAAGTCCGTTTTGATTTGGCACCTGTGGTTCATGTTTGATATAGTGTTTCGGTTTAGCGCCACCGTGGCTCAATCCTACACGGACTTTTGGGTTGGTGTGCCATCAAATCCAGTGCAAGTGGTTAGACGCGACGTTGCACCACCATCAGTGGCCAGTGCTCCAACTTCGGGTGGCTATAACCCCACAACACGTCAGCCCTATGTGCCACCCAGCTATGTGGCTCCAAATGTCGTAGCAACCGTTGCTGATCCTTTCTATAACAACTGTGGAGTGAGCAAGACGTGCTTTGGTTTTCCTAATGGCTGCATGGCCACCAAATCCTGCACCTCACTCTCTGCAGTGACTGTCAGAGGCGATATCTACGAATTCGAGCTGCAGTCTGGCAAAGGTGAGTAAGTCTATTTAGTTTAATTAAATTAATTAAGCTGGTGAGAAATTTTAGTTTGCATTTATTTCACCTGTGAAGCAAACATCTAAACTAAGAACTTGTTAATCTAATCTACAGGCACGAATGCCGCATATGTGGCTGTTGGTCTGTCCGAGGATGCCAAGATGGGTGATGATTTTACCATCGAGTGTGTGCCTGAAAACGGAAGGGTTAGCATGTACTCCTCATATACATCTGGCAGTCCATATGGCGTGAGCAGAGCCGGAGTTGTAAGTACCAATCTTATTTTTAAGTATCCGACGCATGTTAAGTGGCTTTTCATTTCTTTTCAGCCCCAGAACACAGCGCGTCTAGTGGAGGCCTCCGTTGTGGATGGCGTTATCTACTGTAAGGTACAACGAGATCCTGTCACGGTGGTGCAGGGACGTACATTCGATTTGAGAAACAATATGTACCATCTGCTGGTCGCTTCCGGAACCGGTCTCAAAGAGAATGGCGTAGGATATCATGACATTGGACGCCTGCCTTCCGGCTCACCCATTAATCTGGCGGTGGTGCAGGAGTTGGGTGGCTCCAGTATGCTGTTGGTGCGCTTGCATGGTGCTTTCATGATAGTTGCCTGGATAGGCACCACCTCGTTGGGCATTATCTTTGCTCGCTACTTCAAGCAAACATGGGTGGGCAGTCAGACCTGTGGCAAGGATCAGTGGTTTGCGGTACGTATGGGTCTTATGCAGTGCAGTTAGTGGTTGAAGTTTAAAATGTTGCTTATACTTGTAGTGGCATCGTATGCTCATGGTTACCACCTGGTCGCTGACAGTGGTTGCCTATATTTTGATCTGGGTCGAGCTGAAGCGCGCCGTGTGGCATGCCCATGCCGTAACTGGTCTGATCACAGTTATTCTCTGCTTCTTACAACCCATTGGTGCTCTCTTCCGTCCGGGACCGAATGACAAGAAACGACCCTATTTCAATTGGGGCCATTGGCTGGGTGGCAATCTCGCTCACATCCTTTCAAGTACGTTTTTTTTTAATGCCCACCCATGATGATATTGAAAAGTAATCTTGATCTTCTGATCTACGCATACAGTTGTGACAATTTTCTTCTCCGTTAAACTACCAAAGGCTGAGCTACCCGAATGGATGGACTGGATTTTGGTGGGCTTCGTGGTCGTCCATGTTTTGGTGCATTTAATATTTTCCGTAAGTATATCGTAGTCGTCCAATTGAAATTGGTGTCTATGGAGAAGTTTTCTTTGGGCTATCCAGTTCTATTCTCACTTTCGATTCTTTGAAAGTGAAAAGGGGAGAAGTAAGTTTTTCGGTTACCCGTATCTTAGTGCTCACTATCCAAGTGTAAATATTAGCTGTTAGATATCCTCGCATCGCCTGATGTACAGTCTTTCGTTGTCTATAAATTCTCATTCATTCTCTACTAATTCGTCCTTCATATCTCACTAAAGTGCCCGTTGCTACGCCCATTAATTTGTAGATTTGCTTGTGCATTAATCATTGGCAGGTTGGTGGCATCGCTTCGGATCGGCAGCAGACTCAACGTATCAACACCTTCCAGATGGGCGATATATCGCATCATCACCAACACGCCATGCGCAATGGTATGAGCATGGAACGGAAAATGGATGCACCGGTAAGTGGTGGGGCGGAAATGTGGGAAAAAACGCAACTCACTAATTCTATCTGAATATTTGTAATCTTGCAGTATGGAGCTCTGCGAAAGGGATTGCTTAGTGTCTATAGCGTTATCTTGGTGCTCTTCGTCGTGGCTCTGATTCTAATCGTGGTGCTGGCGCCCATTGAAGAATTCTTTAAAAGCAGTCCATAAACAAGAAATGGTGTAAAAAGAAAATAGTCGCTAACTCAAAGCACAATGAACCACCCATCTGAACTTTATGCACTTCCTGTTTTTATACAGTTTTTAATACTCGTACCTTATACGTATATACATATTTCTCGCGTCTCAACTTATTCAAGCGACAATATTGTCAAGTGCTCAGTTTCTGTCAACCCTTTTTATGTTGTTATGTGTAATTAAGCAGAAAAGTGTAAGCTAAGTGCAAAGCGTTCAGTACATGTTATATAATTTATTATTAATAAAGAAAACAAGCCAACTTCAATGTTTATCTTTTATGTTTACGAATATGTATTATATGTATGTATATATGTATTTGTATCTATCATGGTATGTATCGTAACATAAACTACAGTCGTGCTAGCTGCTCGATTGGTTTTATTGGGTTTACGTAAAAAAAAGGATCCGTTGACTGCAGCTTTCGGCATTTCTTTTTGCTTACAACTTTATAAAATTTACGTAAAATACAACTCTACAATTTTATTATATTAATGCAAAACTTAAACCCAATTAAACGAACCCCTCCTATTTTGATAGAGAGAATCATCGCTCCTCCAGTATAACCGTTTCTTGCGGGAATAGTTTAAGCGTCTCCAGCGTTTGATTTGCATCGATGGCGGTTAAGTCACAGCGCGGCCAACTACGTATTAGCTTAAACTCATCGATAAGAAATCCATTAGCAGCCACAAAATTTAACAGGTCCTTTAATATAGAGAGGCAAATGTAAGACGTTCAGGAAATATAATTATAAAATGCTAGAGTCGCACCTGCAGGGTGTTGCGCGTAAAGAATCGTCGCTCCAAGAAGTCACCTGTTGGCTTGCGGACGCGTATTTTAGAAATGCTTGCTTCATTTTCGGTCGGTTCCTGAGGTAACGATTGCTCGGCCTAAATTAAAATCGTAATATTATTATTAATTTAAAATTTTAAAAGTTTTTTGTGAATGCTTTTACCACTAATCGAATGGATTCGCGCCGAGCGTCTTCCTCAGCCTGTTCAGATTCTATACGTTTACGTTCAGCTGCTTGAGCAGCCTCTTTTTGCCGCTTTGCTGCCTCCTTGGCCATGTCCGCTTGTAGTGTTGCCTCATATGCCATATCCTGCTCAGCCTTCACTTGGTCGCGAGCAGCTCTTTCGTCCTCTTCGCGTATTTCATGTTTTAATTGCTCCTCGTACATTTCGCATGTCTCAATGAGCCGGGCAAGCAAGTCATCTAATCCAATGTTGCCTATAATTTGAAACATAATTTGAGTATTACAATTGGAATCGAAATATTGTGCATTCGTTGTCTTACCATGAATCACAGATAATACCTCGCAAGATGTTCGCCCCGTCATACGGCTTTTTCCAATTAACATAATGGCGGGTAACTTATCAAGTTTAATGTTTCTAGCCGTTAACGAAGCTGTGCTGCCAATGCAGGCGGTGAGCGACGACAGAAACCTGAAAATCAAACCATTAATACAACGAACGCAGCGCAAAAATTAATCAGATTGCTTACATGTCCTTGTTACTCTCGTACGTCAGATCCCAGCCATAAAGCACAAAATTTTCCTTGAATGTTTGTATAATGCTCTCATGTTTCATCAGGTGATCACAGAAAACGTTTGTGAGTATGCTCTCGCCGTGGTGTAAATAAATAGCCAATAACTTGCGCTGTGAAATTCGAAGTGTATAGATAAATATTTTGATAATTGCTTATGTAATCGGGCACTTACCTCTTTTGCGGGCTTATGGCATGCTTCTCTCAGTGCGCTTTCCAAACTGCCTACATAAAATTCTGGATAAGGATCCATAAAGCGTTGCTTATAATTTTCAACAAATATTGTGGAGCCGTTGATTTCGTCATCTATGTTGTTGGGTACTGTCAATTAAAAGTGACACGTGAGAAAAGTGTGTTATTGGATAGGTGGGCCTACAAATTATTCATTAATTGCTTACTGAGATGTCTGTTGAGCGGTTGCACGGGTGGCGAGTCGGAGAATATGTATTCCGAGTTATTAAAATCGGTTGCATCTTCAAATTCGTCTGCTGAGCTCTCGCTGTCAACATTAACGATTTCCCTGGAAAGGACATTCGAGAATAATATTAAATACCAGTAGCACAAGCAAACAACCTGTTGTATGTATATACATTTTAAATCTTTTCTAGGGATGGGAGGCGCGCGCGCATTCTCAATCATATTTGGGAAATGCAAATGCATTTGCCATGTGCAATGCAGCATCTCTAAGATATAGATACACAATTTGCTGTTGCTCTCTACATTGTTGACACATACACACATAGTTGTATGCATGCGTATCTTCCACCTGCCGCATGCATGGATCTGTAGTACTTACGTGTTTGACAACAAATTGGAATTGTTTTGCGTCCGCTCTGAAATGTTGCGCACAAATAATTTGTGTGTTAGGTCGATGCCTGATTGCTGTAGGGGAAAATCGATAATTTAAAGTCAAGGTCATGCGAGTTGATATTGAAGTCAGACTTACCGCCAAGTTGGTTTCATTGTTACAACCGTTGGGCCAACCCGTCCACTCCTGATGCCTGACCGGTACAGATCTAATGTAGAAGTAATTTGTTTTCACCTCTTGCATTGTCGTGCTTCCGGGCAATTGAAGAGTTAGCGGGGGATTACTATTTGGCTCTTCCACAATCTCAATTGTGAATACCTTGTCTAAACGTTGTGAAATATCATCGCTGAAAAAGGGGTTTGACATTTTACATTTATTATTAAAATTGCACAACTGGTGGCAAATTAAGTGATGATAGCCTACTGCTCAGTGTCCATAAAGCCGTCCTCGGTCAGATCAACCAATATGAACTCGTTCTCTTGCGCTAAACTCAAATTGCACAGCTGTGTGCCAGGCAATTGGGCGTCCCGGGCGCTAGATGGCGGCCAGCCTCGTATGGCCTGGCGGCATTGTGGAACGCTTGTAACATCGTAAATCTTTCGTTTTAATTGCTCTAAAATTAAGACCTGGTAAGTGATTGCTCCACCGACCTGTACCTCTTATTGTATTACTCACCAACGGTTGCGGTTGCTGGCAAGCGTATTTGATAAAGTTGCTGGTTGAAATGGATGTTGAAAATGATGATGTTTTGGTTGTTGTTCTGTCTGGAAGGATCCAAATTTATGCTCAACTGGGCCAGCAGTTGTGAAGCTGCAGTGAATATGAAATTTAAATTAATTAAATTTGCTCAACAACCTTTCGCTCACTTGGAAACATTGCAGTCATGGGCTCTGAAAACAGACCAGGTGGTCCTCCGGGAATGCGTGCCGTTGAGGTTCCGGGCATATCATCGAAACTTAGTGGCCGAAAGCCGTTGGTGCTCTGATGCGTCACTGGATCTGGTGCAGCCGGCTCTGGGGGATGTATTGGATTCGACAATGGTGTATCTTCGTGTGGCATGACACGGCTCAGTGCCTCCTACATGGGAACAAAAACACAACGCAATTGAATTTACGCATGTGCGCTGCAGAGACAGAACCTGTGACGTCGCAATACTTACCATAAGATTCCAGTTTACCGCCTCTAAGTGCGAAAATGCCTCACCAACATCGTCTATGCCAGTTATCGCCTATTTATGTTTTGGATTGTAGTTAAGTTTACATTAGAAGCATATCAGAAGCAATTTCAAACAAATACTAGGTAGAGCTACCCACACAATGAAACAAATACACACATCTGCATGCTTATACACACACACACACACAGCACACGCATAGAAAATGTGCGAACTCAGCACCAAATTTGTTGGCGAAGCGAAGAATGTAACAGAAGACGGAAATGACTTGCCGATTAATGATAATGCGTACATACCTGGAAACTGGCTAAAGTATCTTCCTTGCTCTCCGACATTGGTATCTCCGATATGGCTTGATTTATTTCTCACAGTCAAAATCTTTACTTCGATTTTTTTCACACAATTTATTACACAAAGACGTTAGTGATGTGAAAAACATCGATGCAACGATTGCTAAATGGCGATATACCTCGATGGCTCGATGAATATCGATATGAATAACGAAATTTATATTCGAAACTGAACAAAATACCTGGTGCTAGAGAAAATACTACAATAAAGCATCTACGTTTCCTCTCCTACTCATTAATTTAAATTTATATAATTTATCGTTCTGAAATCATCAGCAACTATCTAAATAGCAAGCTCCGGGAACTCCGCTTTCTGTATGAATATTATTTGAAGTGCACGTTTTCCCCTTAATTTTACAATAATTAAGCCAAGCTGAATACATAAAGAGCCGTGTATTGGAAACCACAATTTCAAAAAATAACGGCACCTAAGCAACTATTATATTGAATTAGGGCCAAGTGGTAACGGCATATTTGCTGTTAATTTTGAAAACTCTTTTTTTTTTTGTAGGTTGTAAATAAATACGAAAAATTTGATGTAAAAAGAATTCAACTTGATTTATTTTTAAGGCGTTTACAAAGTGTTTCAAGCCAGCCCAACAAATCAATTTGATATTAAATAAAGCATTAAGCATAAGTACAGAGAATGTATTTAGGTACCTGAACTTTGTTTATATATATTTTATACATTTTATGTTATATGTTATATGTACCCTTCGTGAAAACTCTTTAATCAATAAAATGTATTAAACTTCAAATTGTGATTAATATTGTACCTCCATCGAGACCTGAAGCTCTCGATATCACACTGCTCAACACGATTTCCGCCACCCACGCACCAGACAACAAATGTGAAACAATTAATCTTCATAAAGAGTGAAATCAAAGAATGGCGATGTGATTTCAACGTAACCAACGCCAACCATTCATAGAAGCGGACTAGCGTTCAGGACAACATGTTGCTCTTCAACGGCACATCCTTCTGTTTGAAAGTTTGTCTAACACTTTGCGTAATTAACAGCGGCTTTGCGCTCCGGCAAGATTCCAGCAAGTCATACGGGCAGCTACTGCATCATATTAATGGTCTATTGGATATATTATCGTGCGAACTGAAGCTTAATGCTAATGCCAAGTTTGCATTGTTGCTTGGCGAATTTCTGATAAAGCGTGGGTTTAATAAGCTGTGAATTGTGTGTGATATGATATAATTTATATTGATGTTTTCTAAAAATCAAATGACAGAAAAAATGCGGCACGTGGAGCCCACTCGCTATGAGAACCAAGTGTATTACCATTTGCTTCATAGAACAGGAAATATTCGACGCAAGGCGCAGGATAGCGATATCAGCGGCTTGCAGAAAGAGAGTAAGTGAAAATTACTAACCGCAATGTTTTTTTTCTTATCTTGATATAACAACATTTTAGTTCTGGATAATGCATTTCAACGTAATGTGTTGTTATTGCCGCCATCTTTGAAATATGGAGCGCTAAATGCAAATGCTGAATATGAAAAACTGGCCATAAACTATGAGAGCTTTGTAAACGAAGGCATGCCAAATAGAACAGTATCGGGTGAGTTAAGATAAGAAAATCATAAAATGACGATTGAATCTAAAATATTATATAGACCAGTGCATGCGCGATATCGTGGCAATGCCCAATTGCAAACTAAACCTGGGTTGTATGGACCTGCTGACGACTGAGGCGCCGACCTACGGCTATCAACGCACACACCAGTAAGTAAATTACAAGCTAATTAGCTGTCCTTACACATACATACTCGAATATGTTATTCCCAAATGTGAATTCGTTTATTTAAAATGGTAAATCCAAAACCTTCTACAGAAATATTCAACATAAATTAAAATTGGTATACGGGAAAAAATATTAATAATTTTACTAACATTATTGGTTTGCACCGGTAGGATGTTTCGATTTTGGTCCTGAATCTACTTACAGTTACGACTGTTATAGCTCTGTTATTATTTTTGTTTTATGATATTTCTATGGTAATTAAACGATTTCAACACAAATACAAATTTTTATGGTTTCCTCTAAGTCTAACTAAACGGGTTTTCACATATATCTAGTAATAAAAATATATTCGAAACGTTAGATTGTTTTTCGTTCGTTTTTTGTTCGTATAATCTTAGCATAATTTTCTTAGTAAGGTCTACTCTACTATAATCTTGCGAAAAATTTCTTTTAATAAAGGTCTTGTCTCTAATAATTGTTATACACAGGGTATTCTGTTTTGGGACATTTTAAAATTTTCAAAATTTTCTTTTTTTGGCTGGGTATACATAGGTATTAAGGATACAAGAATTCTTTGAAAATATTTAGAGATAAGCTTTCACTCTTATAACTAATTATTTAAATATATATGTAATAACCACATTAACTTGCTATCTGCAGTCAGAAATTGATAAACTAATTTGTATATACAATATTGATATTCAATATCCATTTAAGACTGATCCTGCTATACATGCTAGAGCATAACGAATGTGCGCCCCATCTGGGTCCCCTCCAACTCTATGAACTGTTGGCCAAGACTTTTTGCAATGAAGTGCTGCGTGAACAGAACGCTATACGCAGCTTGGGATTGCCATTAAAATATCGCGATTTATATTTGGAACAGGGTAAGTGGGTTTTCCTCCTGGGACACCCCACCAATGATTTGTATCTAATATTTTAGCTACTATTTGTGGACTTTTTGGATACAATGAATTCCTCAATTGGCACAATGTAGTTGAGGTTTCCAGTTGGTTTGACGAAGCGAGGACTTCGCAAATTTCGAATAGGCATCTTAATGATCTGGCCTTGGTATTCTATATAAATGCGCTGCTACTATTGGATTAGGCGTTCCTTATTGCTAAAAGCTTTTCAATGCTTCCTCTAACTTTAATAATAAAATGCGGCTTAATGCTTTATTGTTGTGCAGGCGTCAACAAGCTAGTTAATACTTTTGTTATTGAACTGCGTGAGAAACTGACTGACGTCAGCCCATGGAGGGAGGGGAGTGGGCGGTGTGCTGCGTGGTAAGACGACCCTTGTTGAACGACGCCATTTGTAACGTGACACATTACTTGCGCTTGGCTGCACGTCTGATGGATGCAACAGCAACAATAACAGCAACAATAACAGCAACAACAACCATGACAACAACGGCGACGACACCGACAACGACAACGACAGCGATGGCTACAACACTTTCCATTACAAAATGCTAACATTGAAGTGGAATACTAATATTTGCCTGACATACTCGAAAACATGGAAGCCAGGCAGTCGGATATTAATGCCTCATTTGCTGCGCCGAGCTGCAAGCAAGTATGTTGGATGTCGGCGTCGGCATTTTGGGGTGCAGGTGCACCCACTAAGCCCTGTACACGTGAAGCGTGTGTGTGAGTGTGGACTGCCCTTTTGCCTTGGCGCAGGACTTATGGAGCGTATTGTCGCTACATGAATAGCTTTGGTCATTAGCAAAGTCGTGTTAGTGCAACAACAACAACAACACCAACAATGAAACCCATTCACACACACACAAACCCAAATAGTTACTCACATGTTAAGTTTCAGTTACAGCGCTGCTATATGCATGCACTCTATATATTTGTATTTGTACACTCAGGATGAAAAATTATAGACCGGTTAGACGTGACTTTAATGTTGTAAGTACTTCACATTTTAAGGTATTCTTCGTATATTTGAGGATTCTGCAATCTGCTTAGTATGAATTTGAAAAAATATATACAAGTTTCTTGTACATACGTGTATTCAAAAAAGATTTTTCGGCATTGTTCAAAGGTATCAATAACATCAATATTGATGGACTACATATCCGTATAACTAGTATTGAAAAATACTCGTATCAATAGGATAGGAAGCTTCTTACTTCGTGCGACGAAGTATCTGTATTTCTGTATTGATTTTATCAATATTTTAATAGAAGAGAGGAAAGACACCGTTCTCGTTTGAATTAGGTGCTGCAAAAAATTCCTAAACTGTTTAAAAAAACATTTTTGTAACTCCTCCTGTAATTCTTAATGCCCTTTTTTTAATAAAATAGCTTATTCACTAAGCACAGACACTGTTAAAGGAAAACAGAAGAACAACTTATTAGAATCAGTCTTTCATTAAGAATTAAGGAATTGATTGTGTGTCATTAAAAAAATCAACACGATAGCATTAGTAAAATTGTATAATTTAAAAAATTTTCCTTGACTTCTAAAACGTACTTAAATCTCATTAATTATTTAGAAACTTCACATATATCTATCTACACCTATCCAACTACTTGTGAATCTCATAGTTACCGCATTTTTCTGAGTGTAGGAGCCCAGACTAATAACCGATAGGCTGCCCGACTCGTCTGCCTTTTGTATTTTATGTGGCTCCCATATCGTTGCCTTCGAGCCTGGCCCTTGTCCACCTTGCTTTGCCTCCTGCTTCTGGAGTTTACGGCTTGTTTATACATATGTAGCTTTCAGTCATTGCCACCAACCCCCTCCCCAGTCCATGCTCGCACCCTCGTATCATCAACCCTTGCAACTTGATCAGCTGTCGCTGTCATTGCTGCTGACTTACTGCCCAGTGCGCGCCTCCTGTTGTTGTTTTCGTAAGCGCGTGTGTCGTCGAGTTCATTATGGGCTTATGTCCTTTGAAGTGTTGGTTCTTTCTCTAGGTGTTTATTATGATGTTAAGTTGATGTTAAAGCAACAACAAACTGTTCTTTAACAGCCGCTGTAATCCGCCGTTGTAGTAATTTGTGCCCGGAATGCGTTACTCGCCGCTCTTTCGTCGAGCATGCGCCCTCGGACCGCCAAGAGAAGGCGGCATTTGCGAAGCTCTCTGTTGTACAAGTAAGTTGCCTGAAAAGAGGGTTGCCAAGGCATCAGCTTTGAGACCAAGTGGTGGACTTAGTACCTAATAATAAGTATAACTGCCAAGTGCGCCAAGGTAAGAATTTATTCTGTAATAAGTATATGCTTTTAGATCTAAATGTAATTCATGTGAATAGTAAAAACTGCACACAATATAACAGAACCCATTAATTACGAAATATTATTCTCGCAGATAATCGGCAAATGCAATAAATGTGATTTCTTGATAGGGGCTATGTGAAGTAAATTTTTGGGAATAGCAAGAAATGCAATAATAAGTAAATATAGTATAATACAAAAGGGATATCTAAAATTGATATGACTACACGTCTTCCATACAAATTCTGCAGTGTGTCATAAAACACGTAATAATAAAATTGTATTTTAAGATGGCCAATTTTTGGAAAAAAAAAGTAATTTGGCCATCTTCTAAGCCTTTTAATCTAAAAATATACACTCTTCTAAGTATTTAAGTTTCAACTTTTAACACCGTTTTCGTTCGGTCAACTAATTTAAATTTGCTTTAAGAGTAATCAGAAATCATTTATAATAATACCACTAACATATTTAAATTGGCGCCTCTCCGGCTTCGCACGGATAATCGACAAACGGATAAAATTCCACGGCTATTCAAAACAGTCGTGTACACAAAGGCGCAAGATACCGTTCAAGCTGTAGCAGAGCCAGTAGCAGTCGTCTCTCCCGTACTCTCTGCTCTGTTAACCACTTGGGGGTTTCTTTTTGTTTTATATATATTTTTTTTGGCTGGCTCTCCGGCTACTAGGAAAGCTACTGCTACAGTTGGCCAGCAGTTTGGTGCGTTTCAATCGGCTTCGATACGCGCAGTAGTCTCCCGTCAATTAGAGTGTAAAAACGTTACGCTCCCACGCAAATACAACGGCGTCGAGCCACAGAAATCCTTTCGCAGGATACAACCAAAATATTACATATACATTTACACACAAGCACACTTATATACATGTACACACACAAGCACAGACACACTCAAACGCATAAGTGAACGCAGACACAAACGCGGGTATATGAATAAGCAACTTTTTCACGCAAATGGAAAAGCAAAACTAAACAAAAATAAGTAATAAGTAGCAAGAGAGAAGAAATAAAATAAAATAAAATACGTAAATTGCTGCAATTATGTGTGAAAAGTATGAGAAGTGTTGAACGAATTTCCATAGCGATATATAAAGTTATGGACGAGTGGTCGTGGTCTGCAATGTGAAAGTCACCGACCAACAAATGTGTGTGTAAATACCACCAAAGTCGCTGAACAAGAAAGCTGAAGGAGCAGAAATCAACGAGGACAACGGCGGCGACGGCGACGACGCCGACAACGACGACTACATCGAGGACGAAGAAAGACGTCAACGAGGACGCGGCCAGGCCAAAAGCATCAGTGAGTAATGTTAAAAGCAACAATAATAGCAACAACAACGGCAACAACGGCAACAACAACAACAGCGGCAAGAACGGCAACGCTTGTTAGTGAGCTCTTTAGTTGTTGGATGTACTTTTTGTTTGGCCCAACTGTGCAAAATGAAATGAAATAATGGAAATTTATGTGGGCAAGCATTTGAAGTGACTCGCAGAGAACTTAAGTGGCTCAGAGCCTACGATACAAGTTTTATATCTACTTTGTTTCGTTGTACATACAATAGTATATGCGTTCCTTTTATTTATTGTGGCTAATTTTTGGGTCAAACTAAAATGAAATTGACTCAAAAGTTGACTAAAAGCTGAAATACGTGAAATACATGCTACTAATGTATGTCGTAGACTTTAAACTTGAAAGAAATGCCCTTAACTGCCAGCTACTACTCTATATGAGTAAATGCGTTTGTGTGTGTGTGTGTGTGTGTGAATATTATTATATAGGCCTCTAAGCATTGTGCAAAGTACATTCACTTTGCAGCCAGTCAAAAGTCTTTGAAATAATGTCGCTCCTTTTGCTGCCTTCACGCTCAACTCAAAAGCGCGCCCACAAACCCACGCACACTGGTCTTGAAACTATAGAGAATTTATTGTTTAGATATGCGTAATAAACAATTTGCTCGTTCCTATATATGCATATACATACATCGATAGCTTAAGTTTGAGATGAAAGTGGACTATAATAATATTATTATAATATAATTAACTTAGTTCTTTAGAGTCAATATTTCAGCGTCAGATACTTGGTAACTAATGGTTTGCTTAACAAAAAGTAATGTCAAGAATATAAAATTACTTCAATTAAAATAAATATAAATTCTCTGGTTCACTTTTCAAATGCAACTCGTAAATAAGACACAATTGTATCAACATAATTTTCCTGTCTGATCATATAGGATTAAATCAAATAAAACAATAACAAATAACATGGCATGCCCGCTATGCTAGACTAGTCCTGGAGCTCTCCGCATTCCAAAATTCTTCAGTATTTCATGAGGTGTTTGTATTTATAATATCCGGAGAAAAAAACATTGGCAGATTTGATTCATCATAACCTTCTAACAATTATGCAATTATGATCTCAAGATCCAGGAGAAAATATTTATTTTTACCATGAATTAGTCTATAGCAGAATAATATTTAGAGTGCTCGGAATGAGGACAGAATACTTAAACAAGAAATACGTATGACTATATCCTCAGAGCTTATGTTTTTAAATTTTACTATTGCAACAAATAGTTATGCCTAAGACCCGAATATTTGGTGCTACAGAAGCTAAAGACAGTAAACACTGAAAGTATGAAATATGAAAACTAAAACTAAAATAATATTTATTAAAAATATGCAATTCATGTAGAAACAATTAGGCGAAGATTATCGCATTTTAAATTGTTATTTCGATTTATTAAATGAACATTTGATTCAGTAGACTCTTTGGTAGGGATCTAACATTAGTTAGAGCGAGTTCGTTAGCTTCGCAATATCTATATTTTCTACCTTTAAAAGCACTAAAACTATGCCTATATTTGATTAATATAGTACGGAATAGAAGAATTTCATCATAAAACTGACAAAACTTCATAATTGAAATATTGAAAATTGGCTAAAAGTCGATAAGATTAGTTATTTCGCAATTTGTAATTTTAATTGGCGTTAAAGCAATTAAATTTTGTTTTGGCCCAGACCAGTGTGCTGTGGCAGTAGCCGCACAACACAGCGCAGCAACCACATGTCTACACCCACACCCACACGTACACGCACATACACACTTACATAACAGCCCACAAGGAGGCGTCACATTTTTGGGGCAGCTACTGTACGCGTGCCTGATGTTTTTATGTATTTGCAAGTGAGTTTCTGAGTGTGTGTGTGTGTGTGTGTGTGTGTGTGAGTTGGTGCTTTTGTTTTAGTCCTGCGAAATTGCTTTGCCAACGTTTTTACTGTTTGCTTTGTTGTGCGAAACACATACATACGTGTGGAAAAATATACAAGTATTCATGCACATATGTATGTACATACGCGTACATACATATGTATGTACATGTATGTATGTAGAAGAGAGCACGCTTTGACAAGAAAGACAAGTAATATGCGCACCTGCACCTGCGAATTTGCCATAAATTAGGCCCAAATACATGTGACTTTTAGCTAAGAAGCCAACAGACGCATATCCCTCTGTATTTATGAGTATCTGTGGGTGTGCGTGTCTTTTGGGTACTATCGGCATGTCTAGAAATCAACGCCAATTGCCTGGGCAGTCATAAGTCAAAGAGCATTCGCCCATACGGGGAAAAAAATATACACTGTACTATACTATATAAGTAATAGAAGAATGCGCGCGAAAAGAAAAAAGATGTAATAATATGGGGACAAGTAACAAAGTTTTATGCCTTTTAAGTCAGATTCAGTCCTGATCCCATCCCATTCTGTCGTCTGGTCTGTACAATGTGGAGACGGTCACACATTCATTGATGTGGCCATGTCTCTCTCTCTCTCTCTGTGTGTGTGTGTGTGTGCGTAAGGACGGGTGTGTGTTTGTGTGCGTATATGTCATTCGTGTTGGGTCAGTAAGTCTGTCATGAGTGTGGCGGGCTGTTTGGTTCGTTTGTGTATTTTGTGGTATGCCTCCAATTGGCCCGCCATGGGTTTGCTCTATTTACCTTATAAAAACACAATTTATTGCCGCTTTAACGATTTTTCTTTGTACTTCTGTTTTCACTAGATGACTGTTCTTGTGGTTATTGTTGTTGTTTTTGTAGTTACTGCTACTGACAAAGCATTTATTGTTGTAGGGTTTTTTGTTTTTAGAACTTTTCTATTTTTCCCATTGACTTTTTCTTTACTCTTTATTTATTTATTTATTTTTTTTTTTTTTTTGAATTTCTTCTGTTTCTCGCATTATTGGCTTTGTGTACAGAGTTTTGCGTGACATCAGATCTTGAACATACATATACTTGTATATAGGATGTATCTATGTATGTGTACACAAGTATATATACATATATAATTGCTACTGCGGCACTAGTTTTGGCCTTGCAACGATTGTCTGTGTGGCAGGCATGTATTTGTGAAATCAATAATTTATTTTAGTTAAAGTATATACTCATAAATAATAAAGAGTACTTTGCCTATCAGGGTTTGACTCAATTTAACAACTACATCCATAAGTATACATGTGCTGTAATGTGTATGTGCATATACGATGCATGCATAAATACTTAATCTGTAGATGTTTTTCAATTGATGCGTACTTGTATTTGTGCATGGCAGTTATCGAGCTAATCTTTTTTGGTAAAAGCATACTAGAGTTAATATGCCATGCATTAGAGCTGTGCGTGATGGCGTGCATGATCATGATGTTAGGCAAAAACAAATCGTGAAATTTGTGACTTTCACGACTTTACAGATGTACGCAATATCTCGAAGATTGAGGAGTGGAGTAATCATTTGTTACGTGTAGAAAGTTTATTTTATGAAGCTTTGGAAATGTTGACAGTATTGACGAAATTCTGTAGCGGGAGAAATTAAAAAAATAACATAAGCTCGAGTATCCTAGGAGAGTCTACATACCAAGTTTGGTCAATGTGTGCTCAGCTGTTTTCGAAATGCAGGCGTTCATCCAGACAAACGGACGGATATGTTTAGATCGATTTTTCTCCTCATGCTGATGAAGAATATATATATACTTAATGGGAAGATGTTTCGTTCTACCTACGGCTTCGGGGTATAATAATGCATTCAAGTTTTAAAAAAGCAAACATCACTATTGAGAGCAAACAAAATTGCAAACCTTGTTCCCATCAATTTAAAGATACTTTTGATTATTGTTTTATTTTTATTTTTAAATAAATACTTCTTTTTTTTTAACTATAAGTATTGAAAGCTCAAAAAGATTTAAAAAGCTAAAGCAGCTTTAATAATAATTTTTTTAAACAAAATAATTTTCAGGTATAATAATACATATTTATATTTATATATGTATAATGCCTAAAAATTATCAAAAAGTTTTTTTTATTATTATTTTAGAACGTACACAATTGTTAAATGCTACAGAAATCAAAAATGACAAACAATTTTTGTTGTTAGCCTGCGTGATTGTGACTGCAATTTTTGTCACGTATACTGCTCTAGCATGCATAATAAAATTATTTTTTTGTTTGTTAGAAATTGTTCAATCCTACGAAGGGTTTTCATTTCAGTTTATTTTAAACGTGAGTAATTATTCAATAAAGCTCGCTTCTAAAACTGGACCGGAATTTGTTGGCTAATTATTTTGTCTGATTGTAACTTTAGTTAAGAGTATCGCGTGAACGTCCATTTAGAATTAGATATGTCTAGTAGTTGCCGTTTAATCAAAGCATATTTGTATAAAGATAGCCACACTTATAAACAGTTTATCTTTTGTCCTTGCTCTAACAATTCCACCAACAGATCTCGACATAAATTTCTTCTGACACTTCGGAAGTTTCGTCTAAAAATGTTATTGTTTAAATGCCTATAATTATTTGCCTGTCTAACCACTGGTCTTAAAAACTTACAACTTTCATGCATTTGTGGGTATGTCTTGTTCAAGTCTACTGAAAGTTTCTTTGTTAAAGGAAAGTGTTTAGATACAAGTGCAAATAAGCTTTTACTGTTCTATTAATTCTTGAAACGTTTAACTTAATTTAAAAAAGCTTTCGCTGGAATAATAAACGTCAATTAGCTGGAAAGACCCAGCTGACACTTATATAAATGAGATTGCCCTTCACTTTTAATGAGTTCAGTTCAAAATATGCCCCACCCTTTGTATTGACATTGAAATACAAGTATATATATACATTTTAGTTTCTTTAAATGATTAAGTAAACATTTTTTAACAGATCTGTAAATAGAAACATACGATAGTATTCTGCCCTTGCGTAATTTGTGTATAGTTCTTCAACGCATTATTTCGCAAAATGTTGTTTGCATACGTTGCGTATACGTAATAGCATTATGCAGAACTAAGACGTCTATTGTGTCTGAAACAACAACATGTCTGAGTATCCCGATACTCATGCTGCCTTCAAGGCATCAATCAATGGCCATAAGTTGCTGCCAGCACGTGGCTTATACCCTGCTATAGTTGTACATAAGTATCAACGAGCAGCCAGCCTTCCATGCAAAATGTCGCAGCCATAAAATATGCACAACGTGCTATGAAGTGTGCAATTTCGTTCGACCCCAAAACCGCAAGCCACAAGCAGCCCATCAAAGCGAGTAGCTGCCAACGGGATGCAGAAAAAACACATTTAGTAGTAAAAAAAAAACAAGGAATACTACCCTACGTTTTGGCAACGCAATTTTGTTGATAGTGGAAAAGTTTTAAAGCATTTATTTAACTTAATTGTCTAATTAAATCACTGCCACTCATCGCTAATTTCTCCCATTAACTGTGTAATTACTCTGATCGACTTTCGGCCAGCACGAAGGCCATTAATTAAGATTCTACACTCATTTTTTTTTGATAGTTTTCGGCTTCTAATATGCTCTAATTAGTTGATACCGAATATTTTTGTAGCACTATTCGAAAATGGGCAAACTTTTGGTGCTAAATACAAACGTGAACGCACGTTTTTGCGCTTACCTGAATAATGAGTTTCAATGGCCACAATGTGCATGGCCAGCAACGCCATTATCATGGTTAAACGTATGCAGTTTTTGGACTCAAATATGCCTGCTGCATACATTGAAGCTACGGCTGCCTTCGTCTATGCGACAGCCTTCAACATGCTACAGCCATTCAGAGGCGTCGTATCGGAAAGAAATGCCATTAAAAACGCAATAAAAATGCAAAAGCAAAAGAAGAAAGAAAAAAACCCAAGCAGATGAGAGAAAGCGAACACAAACGCACAAAATACGGCAGCATAGTGGAGTGCCAACGTATGTATGTATGTATGTGTGTGTGTGTGTGTTTGTGTGTTTGAGTTAAGCCTCAGTGCAAATGGCCAAGGTGGAAAAATCGATATAAATGAATACGGCAACATTTGGTCGAGACGCGCAAGCGGCCTCAAACTCGAGACAGTACGAATGGTATTTTTTTTAGCCTATTGCTGCACGCGAACTTATAAAAGTTTTGCACGCACAGTAACGCACACACAAACAAGTGGTATGTGCGACATACATACATACACACACACACACACACATATATACATACATATGAAGGAAAGGCAGTGCGCGAATATTGCTGTCGTGTGTTTGCCTGCTTGTGTGCACTTATGTGTGTGTGAGTGTGTGTGTGTGTAACGCGATTTTAAGCGCAAGCATACAAATACTACAATAAAAATAAAGCAGAAAGCATATATATATATATATATATTTATATACCCAACCACACACTCACGTATGTCGTCGCATGAAACGACACCAACAACAAATACAACGACGGCAACAGCAAGCAATGAGCTACGATTTCATGACGCAGCGATGTTTGCCCCAGTAAGTATGCTACATATATTTGAGCACAGGTTTTTTGAGCACGGGTTAAGTGCGACATTTCTACACGCTACATATGAGCCTCTGTACGTGTGTGGATTCGTATTTGTATTTGTGTCGTTGTGACCAACTTTAACAGCATTTGCACTTGCATGCTTTTTTTTATATTTCATTTTCGAAAAACTAACTCTCGACTTAAACATTTGACATTTCAATTTGCGCTGCAGTCAAGCTCGACACGCCAACCAACTGCACCAAATTGAAGTAAATGAAGAGCGCTGCGCGAGGACTTCTTTTGATAAAGCCACATTTATCTCCACACCACATCCAACAGCACAGAAAGCTTTAGAAACTGTCATTTTGGGAATTGTCTATAAATTTGATGATTTACCAAATCAAATGCTAAATAATTAAATATAACTCGTTTGAAAGAAAATTAATTAATTCGAAGAGTGATGTATACAAATATAATCAAATATCTCTTTATGTCAGTTCATTTGCATATAATATACAAAAACTCTGAATGTCAGCATCAGGTTCTGAGAGTTCTCACAAAAAAAGTACAAATATGAAAACTTAAATATGTGCATACACGATTGCATTAGACGGTTATATTTATGTGTGTGAGTAAGTTTACACAACGAGCTTGGACAACAGAAACAATAGCCAGAGTAGCTGCCGGGTGAGGCAGAACATGGACAGCGGTTACACACATATTTCGTCGCAACTTTACCTTCTTTATACTGCTTATAACGGCAACAGAGGCACAAAATTCAGAGAAATTTGTTTTGTCAATAAAAATGTCAAATTTCAAGATTGATTCTAGGAAGCCCTAATCAGAGCCCCTAATTGTATTGGGAACAATTCTAAGAACTGCGGTGGTCAAAGGAAACAGAACAGTAGGGATTGGGTTCAGTTTTATTTTAGTTTTGCTTATTTTCTTGTGATTTACATGAGATCCCATTTTATTTCTACATATTTCTAAAAAACAATGCAAAGCGTGCCGTTTCGCCAGTAGCTGTCCTCGTTTTGTAGTTAGCACTTCAATTATTTAAAAGCATTTCGGAAAATAAACTGAATTGACAGCTGAAGAAACTTATATTAATAATAAATAAAAATGTATATATTGAATGAGGATGACTATATGTACTACAAGTATATACTTGTATAATTGCTTTAAAACATAAGTTCTGTCCATGCGTTTGTCTGTTTGTAATTCAACATCTTTGGAACCATAGAACCTCAGCTAACGACAGTAAAGGTGGAGGCTTGTCTATAAACAAGAATTACAAGATCTATGGAAAATCGCAAATAGCGGGGTAGTGGGGGTGCATCGGAAAAAAAAACACAAGTTTGTCCATCCCTTCATCCATAGGAGAATCTGGATACCAAGTTTATGGTTTGTCTTATACTTCCTGATATCCTAGCGTTTATATAGACAGACGGACGAATAGTCGAACAAGGCTATATCGACTCGTCTTGTTATACTGATCAAGAATATATATATTTGTGGAGTCTGCCACGCCTCCTTCTGTGTGTTACGTATATTCGCACAAAACTAAGTTGTATACCCTTTTACCCTTTGGGTACAGGGTATACAACTCTATCAAAATGTATCTGCTTGCTACGGTATAACAAATATATCAGATGGTACTAAAACCTACTTAGTATGCATGCTAGTCTGAGCATGCCCTGAACACATACGTTCGACAAAAATCGTTACAAACTCTTATCGAATTCTACGACTTCCGGTATGCTTAGTTACTCTTTAACTACAGTGGATAAATTACACTTTTGATTTATTTCTGAAATGCTATGCCAAACAAACTTACTCGTAAATTGTGTTAAAATACTTTTCGGTAAAGTATTGCGTTTACGTGTGCAGTATGTTTGTTTGGGGAGGGGATTGGCGTATTGACTGATAATTACTTCGCGAAAACTCCCACCTTAAGGTAGGACTGAAAAAAAGGGAGTGGAATTCATCATGTATTTTTTCTGCAGAGACATGGGTGGGTGGGGGCGGTGTTCCTGCTCCCTGTTTGTTGTGGTACGCATTGAGCAGCGTTACCATGACGCTTTATTGATTTTACTTGGTAACTGTTAGCCAGGAGCGACTGGCTTGGCATGAATCATGGCATTGCGTGTTCAGCAATTTGTGGTTATTATAATGGCCACTTGATTTGCTGCGTGAATGTAAATTTGGCTACAAACAAAACCGTGCAGCGTTGCACAATCGAAGACTAATTGGGTGTGTGTGTGCCCTTTTGTCCCTTTGCTTTGCATTTGCAGTTGGAACATCGACCGCTCGGCCAGCAGTAGCCGCAGTCGCATGCTCGCCTCATGTCTGGAAACTGGCTTGTGGCCAAAGTCGTGTGAAAGGGCCGGTGATCGAGAGCAGAAACAACAACATCAGAGCCTACACTGAAACGTTGAAAATCATCAGAAAGAGAGCTAAAAACAACAGGACCACAAACGAGGCTGCAGGCAACACGTTTGTGCTGCGAATTATCCATTCGACCCATTGCACCCATCACCTTTTTGGGCTGGCTAAAAATGTGGACTACAAAGCATCTTCATCATCAGCATCGGCATCATCAGTATCATCAGCATCAGAACCTCCATCAGCATCAGCACCGATGGCTGCCTGCACTCACATTTCTGGCCCTATTGTTGGCAATAGCCAGCAGCGCCGACACGGACATCAACATGGAGGCTGCCTTTCAAGGTGCGTATGCGTTTGATATTTGAGCTCCGTTACAGAAGGGCGGGGGGCGGGCGGGCAAGTGCTGGGCACATAATTGTGCAAAATTGTCATTTAATTTGGAATATTTGCAAATTTAACCATGACATGTCAATAAATGTCCATTGTGAAGGACATCAGACACGTATACACGAACACATGAAGACTCTTCAAATGTGCTCGGTTCAGACACTAATGAGTGTCTTAATTATGCCAGCCAATGTGTGTGCTGTCGATGACACACACACACGATACACACAACAGCACACGCACACACACCCACATAAATCGCACCCATACAAACATATATATGTAAGTATGTACGCAAATATGTCGCAGGTATGGCACGTAGGCTTCTATGTAAATCACGACGTTATGCAATGTTTTTGTCAAATGTTCAGCCTTTTCGTCCTATGACTGGTCTGCAGTCAGTCCTCTTCCAGGGCTGGCTGGGTGTTGCTGCTGTTCCGTGTCTCTGCAGTTGATGTGTGCTGCTGACACTTCGATTTCAATTGCATGCAATATGCGATTTTTCAATTTCAATTTGAATTTTCAATGCACACAACCCGCTCGTTCCGTCAGGGACATGCACGATTTCTGTACGTGTGTTTGTGTGTCATTGTACTACTTGTACATTTAAGTGTGTGTATGTGTGTGTGTGTGTGTGTTCCCACGTATGCAAATGTGCACAATGTGCAGTTGGTGTTGACGCTGTCCAAGAGGCAGCCCCACTTCGCACTTTAAACGCACCGCACTTGTTTAATCAAGCAGAGCAGCCATATATTGTAGAATTACACCGAGCAAAATATTTAAACTAAGCTATTAGAAAGTATCCTTTCAAACAAACCTACAAGGCAGCAAATGAATGTTTTGTAAAAGGGTATGTATTTAATTAATTGAATCAAGAAAAGCTATAACACTTAAATCCCCCCATACTTAAAGTAAAAAAAACATGCACATCATTTTTCAACTGAAAGCATTTTTATTTTACCATTATGCGCTAATAAAATTACCATTGTCAACTGCAATTTCAGTGCAAAAGACATATTGACTTTTTTTCCATAAAAAACAATTAAATAAACACAAAGACAATGGGCCACAAATAAACAAATTAGGCAATGGCGAAAAATCACTGAGAAGCAATTTAATGACACCTTATTGAAAGCAAAGCCATCATCATTTAGTAATTTAGTTAGATGGGGCATTCCTGATTGCTGTTTAGAAATTGATTTGAATTTTGTCGATCCCAGACTGCGCTTTACAGTACCTCCAATGTGAGCAGCACAACAAAACAATTGTAAAAACAAAACAGCCCTAGGGGCAGAGTTTAAAGGTAGTGTTGTAGCTTTGATTCTATTTTTATATTAAATTCATCAAATTCAAAGATATACGAGATAAATGTAGGTAAATAATTTACAGTGCTTAAATCAGCAAGCCCTAGGGGCAGACTTTAAAGGTAGTGTTGTAGCTTTGATTCTATTTTTACATTAAACTCATCAAAATCAAAGATATACGAGATTAATGTAGGTAAATAATTTGCAGTGCTTAAATCAGCAACAGGTGAATAGATTCACATCAAAATCACCGATTAGTGTGCGGAATGGTTTACCCCCAAAATATAAGATATATCAGCAATACTTGTACATTCATACATACTTAACTACATGTTTACTCACACTATTTTTCATCTGATAGCATTATTGTTGGGCAATTAAATGTTTTTAGTATAAAAAAAGCGATAGAAATGAGCAGAAAATCTATATTTTCGGTTGCGATAGTGATTTAAATGGTTTACACAAAAGTCAATGATGAAAAAATGGTTCCAATTACGCAATGCGAGTAAATTGCAAACGAGAACTGTGAGTAAATTAAAAAACACTAAGAAAAACCATTGGAAGCAATTTAATAACAACACTGCAAGCCCTCATACCAATGTAACATTTAACAAAATTTTCGCATGAATAAATAAATTTCATGAAATAAGTTTTGCAAATCAGTTCAAGTTAGGGGCTCGCACTGATATCGATTTTTATGCACAGCAGATATGGCAATAATACTACTTTGTATTTAAGTAGAACAATTTTTTGTATTTTATGACCGAATATGTGCAAAACAAAACAATTATTAAGCAAAGGGCATTTAAATTAACTTTATATAGAATTGCATTTTTCTGCTCCGAATTGTTAATTTTTGGAGGAACTTACGTTGGTTATTTTTCGATCTATTTCTTGGCAGGTGTGTTTAAGTTCATACTTACTATTTATCCCAATTTGGTGTACATGTCTAAAACATTATTCTGCAAGAAATATATTAAATATACTTGTATTGATTAAAAGGCCATTTTGAAAAATTACTTAATAACGGTAGTGCTTTGTTAAACAGTGTCAATAATATTTTGTTACTAAATGATTTCAAACCCAAGGAGTGGAGAAGAATTTACAGTTTATTTTGTGTTCGAATATTGTGCAATTTTTTAGCACTCGGTATATACTTGTAATTAGATTTTAGCAGCAGTTTCTTTTTAATAGCTAGACTAACATCACATCTATACGAATTGACAATTAGTACTAAATTTTTCCCCTAAAATACTTTTCATTTCAATAAGTGTATTAAGAAACTTTAGAGCATTCGCTAAATTATTTTTTTAAAGCTTCTGGTACAGTCTTTTGAAAAGAACTGCCTTCTTTTGAATATTTTAGAATTGTGTTTTATTAACATCATGAGGCATAGATTTGGTAAATTGTAATAGAATTTTTCCCTAGTGTAGAAATGAGATATTTAAGTATGTTTCGGTGGGTGGGGGCGTGGGTGGGTGTTAGTATGTGTGCTTAGTTGGGAGCCCAAGTTTATACCTTTAATGCTCAGCACGACTGCGCCGAAACCAATGTGTGTTATATTTTATTACAATGAACACGGCTCGCATGTAAATGGACCGTTGTGAAAAATGACGTAAGTGTGTGTCGTTAAAAGGCACACTTGTACACCGTACACTTGTCGTATGCGTAATGTTTCTTTGCTTTGCTAAGCGTACGGCCTTAATGCAGGCAGCCACTTTATTGTGCATTGTGGCACGATTTCTTGGCCTTATTTTTGTGTCAGCTAACTGGTAAAATTTGAGAGAAAACTGAAAATAAAAGCAAGCCTATGGTATTGAAGCTGGCAGTATTAAATAATTTGGCAAGTAATGGGTTTATTTTTGGCCATGGCAGAGTTCGAATTGCACTTTGTCTGCCATTTACTTTAATTAAAAAAATGCATGCAATCGGAAACGCTGGATGTGTAATTGAAAATAGCGCTCATATGGTAGTAAAGCCACTTAATTGACTGCAGTTATTAAAAAGGAGAACGCGTTCATGTCCAACCGTTCGATATGCCAAGCTTCGTTGTTTTTTGTATTTGCATTTTTAAAATTTGCATTTCAATTGAATTTCAATTTATTTACAAATAGTTATAAAAATACAGCATTCCTAAGCCTATGGCAATCCATTGAATACTGTTAGCACTCGATAAAAGCTGTCTTTCTTTTTTTCTCAAATCTATGAATTTGCAATTTCTACTGGAAACTAAAAATATTTATTATTAAAAAAAAAAAAACATTCTGAGCAAAAAATGTGTAAATTGGAGAATATCGTACTTTGTATCAATTTGTTATGAAGCAGTTTGGAGAGCAATCATTGCTTAAACATTTATTTATTTCAACGATCTATATTAAATAAATATTGCATGTTGTATTTATCTATATACAGCCGGACTGGTTAATAAACCTTTCCCCCCACCGGGTCAGTTATTCTCATTTTTTAAGCGGCTTAGAGAGCAATCGTTTATTAAGCATTTATTTATTTCGAGTATATATATTCAATAAATATTGTATATATGTATCTATATAACGCTTTTTATCATATTTTAATCTTTTATCATTTACGTTTTTTGATTGAATGTTGCCTGTTTTTTTTTCTTCATCTCTATTTTTTGTTAGGTCTATAAAAAGTCTCTGACGGGGCATAGCTGGCCGTTTGCCAAATAAAATCCTCCCACCGAGTCGGTTTCATTATTGGATATTATTTTAGTTTGTAAACGCGTTTTATTCTTTAATTTATTTATTCTAAGATTTCTATTGTTTTGTGTTGTTTTTTTTTTCATTGATAGCTTTGTTTGTTGTTGAAATAAATATATAAATATATTGAATATACTAAATAGGATTGAATTGCTTTCATTTCTTTTAAAAACTTTTACTAAAACGTTTTTCAAGTCCACGATTTAACATTATTTGTCAGTTGCCAAAAAGTAGTATCCACAGTTAATGTAGGGTGGAAAAAAATGGGCCAAATATTTGTCTTCTTTTGAGTGAACGGACGATCTGTCTCTTGCTCTGGTGACCTCTCAATGAAATGTTGCTGGTTGAAACGAAGAACAACAATTCAACAAGTTAGAAAGGCGTATGGCTGTGCCAATCAAAACATTGACTAGGGCTAGTTTAGAGATAAATTGTGTCTTAATTTAGAAAAAAAGAAAGGGGCGGGGGCATGTCCTTTTTCATTCGTTATTATGACTTACAAGCTCATCGCTTACGAGCCATTTTTTCACTTTATTTTAAAGTAGTTCAGACGTGGAATGCAAATATTGTTTGTGCTGGCATATACTTGTAGTTTGGCAATTGATTGCTTATAGGCTTAAGCAGCTTAGCGTCGCATATAATGGTACAACCTAAGTCAAAATGGACCTAAGATATTTATTGGAACTATGAATGTGGGTTAACTCAACAGTTGCAATGTGTCTTTTAGTTAGGCTCGGTGCCATTTAAGACACATTTGAATATGTTACTTGCCCATTTAGTGGGCCACACACCCTTGCATAAATGTATGCAAGTGGCTCGTGCCTTGTGGGAGTATGAAATGTGACTGGCGGCAGCAGTAAATTACAATCGTATGCCTGTATCTAAGTCAGTAAGACTCATTAGAATTTATTGCGGACACGTCGGTCACACCCAGAAAGCAGCAACACGCAAAGCAAATAGACACACGCACACACAAACACAAACTCACACCCAAACCAACACACACACACACACGCACACGCACACACTCAGCCCGAAAAAGCGTGCAAATTATTAACTTAAGGTTCGCCCCTCCCAATGTAAATGAAACGGAACGAACACACGCCCAGAACTATCCAGCCATTCAGACGGATGGACAGACGAACAGATGGGCAGGCATTTTGTACTAACTGAAAATTTGCTACTTTATCATGTCATGCACTCCCTAAACACCTCCACAACCTCCGCCCCCGACGCACAGGCCATTGCGGGCACACCAGTCCTTGCGAGCAGCTCTGCTACGAGATCCACGATGGAATGTACGAGTGCGATTGCATCGAAGGCTATGAACTCAATAAGAACGGTTACAGCTGTCAAGGTGCGTTACTCAAACCGATAAGCCACAAAATTATTAATTTCTAATTGAAATTGAAGCGGAACTGCAACTGCAACTGGAAATTGGCGCGTGGTTTCACAATTGATTTTGTTTTGCCTTTATTTCTTGCAGTTATCAATTCGACGAGCAGCGGCAACGAGGCCCATGGCAAATCCGATGAGGATGTTCTATATCAGAAGGGGGCCTCGTTCAGCGCCAAGTTGGCTAATGATAATGAGCGTGAGCGCGATAACAAATTGTTGTCTGGCATTTATGCCACAGATGCGGCAAAGGAGCGCAAAGCGGCTGCCTCCATGGCGGCGATGAATGAGCGTGTGTCCATTGATAGTTACGATTATGCGGATGATAGTGCTGGCCAGGAGCAGCAGCAACAACAGCAACAGCAACAGCAACAAAAAGTCAATTCAAATGATTATTACATATCAGCAGAGAGCATTAATTTCAATGCAGACGATGAGGCTCTAGAGCTGGAGCGAGAACAGGAGCAGGAGCAGGCGCAGTACCAGGAGCAGGAGCAGGAGCAGGAGCAGGACAATAGCAGCAGCATGCAACATGTACCTGACTTCAAAATTGTGGCTGCTGCAATACCAACAACAACAAGCAGCAGCAGCAGCAGCACAACAACCACAACGACGACAACAACAACCACAATACTGCCCACAGTAAAAGGCACACAAAAGGCAGCAGGATATAGACGTAAGAATAACATCGAGTCCGATGTCAATGCCGATCCTGATGTAGACGCCGAATATGCCGACGTCGACGATTACTATACCTACAAGGCAGATATGTCCATCTATGACGACGTCAATAATAATCAATTAAATTTAAGGCGTAACAGCAAAACGCATACATATCAGCAGACAAGCAATACTAACAACAAAAACAGCAACAGCAACAACAACAACAACAATGATAATAATAACAACAATTTGCATATCGCAACATCAGTCCAAGCAAAAAACATATCAGCGAATAATTATCAAGACGCACAAACAACGACCAGCAACGATGACGTCACTGGCGGCATCAGCACCAGGTGTGTATTTTCCAGCCGTTGCACCCCAACAACCACATATCGACTAACTTATGCGCCACTTAATAGCTCGATGCCGTGCAATCTGGACTGCGGCCCCGAAGGGATCTGTGCCTTGGAGCAGAGCACATCGCAGCGCTGTCTGTGTCCTTTCGGCAAGGAGGGCATTGGCTGCAGCGAAGGTAAGCCCCACAATAGATCCTCTTCAATAGATTTCCCCCTTTCCGCTTAATACCGCATCGCATTTATAGATATGAAGGCACACGTGCCACGCTTCGCCAAACACTCCTGGTTGGCTTTTGCCGCCCTGCATGGCGCCTACAAGCATGTACAGGTAAATATTATAAGCCCCTCTTCGATTAGAGGGGTTTCCGTAGAGCAATACTTGTACATAGTTTAAATATGTTTTTAGATGGCCATTTTTTGTTAACGCGTTGTTTAATGATGGGTCTTATGTATGAGAAAATAGGAGAGTCATCGCGCAGAGTTAGGGGTTTTGATTTGCTGGTGGGTCCTCTCCCCTCCGGATCCTTACAACTCATTACAACTTTTACAAAAATTGCCTAGTCTTTAATGAATCGGGGTGTTCTTAAAAGAGTTTTTGAAGCATAGCTACCATTCAACAACATATGCGATTTTTATTTTTCCAAACCTAGTAGGACGTGCGGCATCTCTAAGGATCATAGCCTATTAGTAGGCATTAATTATGCGCCGAGTCGCGAAGCTTAATCGGTAGGCAATAATCCAAGCATATGTCACACCTCTTTGAATATCGGTCGAGCTCATAAACGTGTATTCGGGATCTGAACAATTTACACTCTTCCTTGTATGTGTTGTACTTAGTAGTTATACCCCTGATTTTTGTCAATGAAATTCAAACAAAAAGTGATCCCTTCAGGGGGAATATAAGATAATTCCGAACTAAAAGCGGAACTATTGAAAAAAAAAAAACTCTTTACGGCAAAATAGTCGAGAGAGATAAAAAGCTAGCAGCCAGATTTACGAGTAGAGATTTAGGGGCTTGCCGATCATCTGTGGGTTTTCCGATCAACAGATGCGGCAGTTTATCTTCTTGAATAGACTCTTGACAATGCACTTTGTCAGTAATGATTTTTTTTTAGCTAGAATAACAGACAAACAATTTTAATTAATATTAGTTTACATCTCTACAAGAAGTTTAAGTGAGTTTTAGGAAAGTTTTTGAGGATTCAAAGAAATAAATCGAACCCTGAAGAGATCCCTTCATTGTCCCACATATACGAGTAGTGTGCATTCTAGATTCTCAACATATGGGTTTTCCGATCAACAGATGCGGCAGTTTATCTTCTTGAATAGACTCTTGGCGAAATGACAATGCACTTTGTCAGTAATGATTTTTTTTTAGCTAGAATAACAGACAAACAATTTTAATTAATATTAGTTTTCATCTCTACAAAAAGTTTAAGTGAGTTTTAGGAAAGTTTTTGAGGATTCAAAGAAATAAATCGAACCCTGAAGAGATCCCTTCATTGTCCCACATATACGAGTAGTGTGCATTCTAGATTCTCAACATATGTGACAAAATGCACATACTATAAATCGTTACCTAATGAACTAAACTACAAAATGGGAAACGTTCGTGAAGTGAATGAGATAATGCATATATGTAAGCCACCACTTGGCTGAATCGAACTAGGCGAGAAAATTGCACACACACACACACTGAAACACACACACACACAGATACTTATTTCACCCACACATTTGCACTTTTTCGCCTGAATGCATGTTGTGCTTTGCATTTTACAGCTACGGTTGGAATTTCGGCCCGAATCGTTTGACGGCATAATTTTGTTGAGCGGCGAACGTGACGACCTCACTGGCGACTTTATGGCCCTGCTGTTGAACAAAGGATTCGTAGAGTTCTGGTTCGACTGTGGCTCTGGGGTGGGCAGTGTCCGTTCACGTGAGACCATAATGCTCAATGAATGGAACTCGGTTATTGTCTATCGACATCGCTGGGATGCCTGGCTGGTATTGAATCATGGCACGAAGGTGCAGGGACGTTCGAACGTGAGTATAAATGTCCTCGCGTGAAGTTTATGCGTTGTTTGCACTCGTACATACTTGTATTTAAACATTATCATTGCTTGCTTGCAGGGCCTATTTTCGCGCATTACCTTCCGCGAGCCCGTCTTCTTGGGTGGCGTGGGTAATATAACCGGGCTAGCCAAAAGATTGCCACTCAGCGAGGGCTTTGCCGGCTGCATTCGTCGTTTTGTGGCCAACGAGCACGACTATAAATTCACGGAGCATCCATTGGGCGATGTAATCAAAGGTTTCGACATACGTAAGTAGTACGCCTCTGTGATTCAATAATATGAGGCTGCAATGAGTTGCATTGTCCTTGCAGAGGACTGCTCTATGGACAAGTGTGTGCGCTATCCTTGCCAGCACGGTGGCAAGTGTTTGCCTTCAGATCAGGGCGCCGTCTGTTTATGTCCCATTGGCTTTGTCGGCGATCTATGTGAGATACGAATGGATCTTCAGGTGGCATATTAAATTGTTAAATTCAACCACAAAATAAATAATGCTCACCTATTGTTTGTGCTCTGTAGGTGCCAGCCTTCAATGGCTCGTCCTTTTTGCGTTATGCACCGCTGGGCGACAGCGCCCTTATCTGGCTGGAGTTGCAGGTGATCCTAAAGCCGGAGCAAGCAGATGGTCTGATACTATACTCGGGTCCAGAGCAACGCGGTGATTTTATTGCCTTGTATTTGCACAATGGCTTCGTAGAGTTTGCCTTCGACTTGGGCAGTGGGCCAGCGGTTGTGCGGTAAGTCCAACCATACGCCAAACCCAAAAAACCTTCGCTCATCTCCGTTTTGAACTTGCAGCAGCGAATATGCGCTTACCATGGGTCAGTGGCACAACATAAAGATATCTCGCACGGCGCGTCTGGCAGTTCTCAAGGTGAGTTAAGAAGAGGAAGCAATTGCGAATTGTGGGTGCATTATGAATAAGAGTGCATAGCTATATAAATCCGTACTGACAACCAATAAAGTATAATATCGAATTCATGATAAGTCTATGATAGACCAAGAAGGTATGCTTTCAATGATAAATTATTGATTAGATCCATATATTCGCGACTAATTTTACGACTAATTACTGGACTATCAGTAAAGTTCGCAGAGTGTATATAAATAAGTAATATGCTCACATGCAAACTTAAAATATCCGCGGAAAAAGGCCACTTGAGAATTTTAGTCCAAAGCAATGAAAAAACGATTGGTCAATTATAGAAGTTCTGGAATCGTTTAAAAAAAAATCAATAATATATCAATCTGTGAAGCTTAATTCGATTAAAATTTGTATTTGCTTGGCAAACACTATTTAGTGGACTTTTTACTAGAAGTTTTGAGTAAGAATCAAAGCGAAGTTAAGCACGTTCTGAGTCCAAGTTGAAGAATTAGTTGATGTTTTCTTTGAATTGTTATTATTATCTAAGAAAACAAAATGAGTTTGAAAAGCGCTAAGAATCAAAAGTGTGTTAAGGTTTCATATATATTTTTTTTTGGCTCAAGTCTAAGTGGTAGGAAATATTGCAATTTCAATTCTATTACAATCAAAATGCCATGAAATTAAAGATCATATACTTTTAAAATCGAAACATTATACTCTGTGTTACTGGTATCCAAGACGAACAACATACATTTGTCAAATTTAAATTTCCTTTCTTAATGCAAAGATTTATTTCACCCCCATAACTAAGAAAAAATGTTATGATATTTGAGCATACTTATAAGTATGATTCAGTTCTTACTGTTTGTATGTCGATTTCACATCGCATAGGAACACTTAATAAATAAATAAAAAAGTATGATTTTTTATCTTTTTTTAGACTTAAGAAAAACCTTTTTAAAATAATTGGAATTTGGTATCCCTCCCTAAATTATTTATAATTTCAGGGTAATATTAAATATTAAGGCGGGATGCCATTAGTTGTTATTTTTTCAAGAAAGACATTTTTAAAATAATTGGAATTAGGGAGGGAGAGGCTTTCCATATTCGTTGGGGGTTTAGCAAAGTAATAGCCATCGGATATACCAGTGTCATCTGTAAATTATTTATAATTTAAGGGTAATATTTAATATTAAATATTAAGGCGGGAAGCCATGACTATTAGTTGTTATTTTTTTAAATATCCGTTTTATAATGCACCTCAAGATTTAAGTTTAATAAAAGAAATGTACACTTTGTTAATTAATAATTTGTTAATTATATTTATAGATTGATCAGCATCAGGAGGTCATGACCATATCCACGAATGGCTTTTGGCATCTGTCGCTTGGGCACAATCTCTTTGTGGGTGGCGTCAATCATGTGGACAAGTTGCCGCTGGACTTGAAGTACAAGCCGTTCTTTGTAGGCTGCATACAGCGGGTGAGTTAATTTCTGCCATTTTGCGGTCACTGCACCCGCACACACAGGCGCACACAGCCACTCACACACTCCCTCACTCACCCACACACACACACACACTTTCAGATTGACATCAATGGTCGGTCTTTGGGCATTGTGGCCGAGGCGCTGGGCGGCAGCAACATCGGAAACTGTCCGCACGCATGTGTGGCACGTCCGTGCGGGCCGCTGGCGGAGTGTGTGCCACAAATGGAGAGCTATGAGTGTCGCTGCAGCATATACAACGAGCGCTGCAATAAGGCCGCTGAAGTGCCCCCCGAGGAGTTGCCGGCGTTGCACAAGGCCCCAAACAATGGCCATGTCCTGTCCGACAATGTCGAGAACGAAGACAAAGCACTCGAATTCAAACACAATGGAGCTGCGACGACAGAACAAACGAAAAGGAAGAAATTGGTGGCGCACAAGAAGCAGTCAAAGAAACGCAAGAATTCTCATAAACCAACACCTGTTATTTGGAATCAAACTAGAACTCCTTCCCCAACAACAACAACTTCTACCACTACAACGACAGCTGGCGCTCTAAGCAATGAGGAAATTGAGGATGATATCATTTTCCGTTTCGTACAAGAGAATTCAGGCATGCAAATGCAAAGAAAGCCAACCAGTACACCGCAACAAAGTACAGACAGCAACAGCAACAACAACAACGACAACAATAATAATAACAACAACAAAAATAGCAACAAAAAAAGACGACAGTCGAAGCAACACCATCAACACCACAATCACAAACAACATGTGAGCAAGCATGAGCATCACCAGAAGCCGAACGCCGCCTTCGCCCACAAACTAAGTCGTCTGCCCACCCACTACGAAAGTTTCCAGACAAATCCGGATAGCGATATACTCACATTCGACGACAACAACGATTGGGTCGCCAGCCTGCAGCAGCAGGAGTACGCAGATGCGATGGCAACCAGTCAAGGGGTCGCCACAGCAGTCGAAAGCTCTCGAACGGACTCAGACGAAGCAGATACCTTTGTCTTCGATGAGACACTGTTCGATGCCTCCGACGGCACCGAGGAGTACCAACGCAAGCAACTGGCACAGGACATGAAGCGCATTATGTCTAACACACACGAATCGCATTCGCACGAAAGGACCGCCATTGAGCCGGATTACAACTATAGCGACAACAATGGAGCAGAGCTGGGCAGTGAGCACAAAGCCGAGGACAAAGGCTATGAGGACGTTGATGTTGACAATGATGCTGATGGCAATGATGATGATGACGACGATGACGATGATGATGATGATGATGAATTGCTCACACCTATGCACAAGTTGCCAGAGCCGCCTACGACATTGCCGGGAGTCGTGCGTCTGCCCGCCACCACGCCCCAGACCCACACAGACTGGAGTCTGCTGAAGAAATTTGATTTGTCCGCCGAGCATCAGTCGCAGGTTGCAGGCGTGCGTAAGAATTTTGGCGCCTGCTTTGCCGGAGCTGATAGCTATTTCCATTATAACGATGCCGACACCATGAGTCAAATCATCAGCTACAACATCGATTTGAATTTGCGCATCAAGACGCATTCGCAGAATGGCGTTATTCTGTGGACGGGCCGGCAGGGCACAACGGAACAGGACGATGACTACCTGTCCTTGGGCATTGAGGAGGGGTAAGTGCCCTTAAAACCTTTTTCAAGTCTCCGATGGCTGAAACTATTTTCTATTCACAGCTATCTGCATTTCCGCTACGACTTGGGATCTGGGGAGGTGGATATTCGCTTCAATGGCACCAAGGTCAGCGATGGGCTATGGCATCGGGTGCGAGCGATTAGGTAAGTGCATTCCATCACAAATGTTGAGAACTGGAATAGATGTGTGGGTAATTGTTGGTGAAGAAAGCCAGATAACCAGCTACAAAATGCTACCTTAGTCTGCACTGTAGCTATATTATCCGCACTACCTCTTACAAGAACACTTCGTTCCTCCTATACTATGTATCTTATCTATAATTAGAAAGCATTTTGCAATTATTTTGCATTTGGTCATCCATTTGCGACCCCTGAGTGATGAAAAACCACCAGACTACAACTACATATATCATATATCTAAATGTCTATATCATAACTTTTAAAATGTAGAAGTTTTTGATACAAAAAATATGTATCTTTTCTATTATTAGAAAGCATTTTTCAAATTTTTATAATAGGCTTTCCACGGTCATCCATCCAAACCACCCGACTACAACCTTGTCTATAGCATATCTTTTAAAATGTAGAAGTTTTTGATACAAAAATAACCTATTTTAAAATCACATAGTGTCTATAAAATACATTTTCCTTTTCCATTTAAAAATCTGGAATATTTCATTAAAACAAGAAATAAATATTCGTTGAACGAACAAAACTGAAATATTTTCTAAAATCAATCTATAAATAGGAAATTCATTTAATCAATGCCAGGGTTTAAATTTAGGGTTTAAATTTTCGGAAACATTTTGCGAAAAACTCCAAGGAGCTTAAAACTATATTTCAAAACGATAAGGCTATAATAGTATGGTCAATGAGAAAACAAAGGAAGGATTCGGCTTCGTAGTGCGACTAAATGAGTGGGTTAGATAGTCTGTAAATGATTGATTAGAGGAGAGTCCTCACCTAACCCCAATAAAAATCGACTGCTGATAGTTTGTCCGACCAGTCTCTAGCAGAATTCATATTTTCAATTCAAATCCCCCTTTCATCTGTACAACTTCATTTTTTTCCCTGCTTTTCTCTCACCTAGACTATTTGAGGGGCATAATAGGAGACCCTGATTAAATGTCGGACGAAGCTCTACTTCGTCTTGAACCATATCACCAGCTTTAATTATCTCTTTCAATTTACAATAAACGCCACTTCATTATCGCCGAAACAAGATATTAAAATTTAGCTAGCCATTTCAATTCTTAATTGATGTTGAGGAAGAAAGTGAAGGGGTATACGAAGGCTCATTTATAACTCACACCATAATAGAAGAAACGACCCCAAAAACACTACAGTAGAGCTGAACAAAATAAAAGCACTAATAAATCAACATTTTGTGAATATTACAGAAATTCGCAGGAGGGCTATCTGGAGGTAGATGGCAGAAAAACGTCCACACAACGCACGCCTGGCAAGCTGCGCCAACTAAACACCGATACCGGTCTATATGTTGGTGAGTATGGCGGCAGTATTCGAATTGTTTATTAGGAGAGCTAACATTTTGTGTCTTATCTCATTGCTTCGAATTCAGGTGGCATGCCGGACGTCGCCTATTTTACACACCAGCAATATTTCAGCGGTATTATTGGCTGCATATCCGAAATAGTTCTGGCTGGAGAGATGAAGCTTAACTTCGATCCCAATACGTTGGGAACAGCACACAATGTGGAGACAGGCCTACTATGAAACGCTGCACTTACGCCTCAAGACTTTTGATATCGAATAGTTTAAATGTTATGTTTAATTATACAATGTCTTTTCGTTTGTTTTTGTACAAAGACGCTTTTAACATGAGAGAGAATTTTTTTACACAAATGACGAAAAACGAAACTAAATCTAGAGCATAAAAACCCAAAAAAAAAAACATACTACATATTATATACAACATATTTGATTATATACAAATGCATACATACATAGATATATATTTAAAAACACAAATATATATTAAAAGGGAAAAACGAAAAACATAACAAAAGGCATGCTTCAAATAGAGCCTGTGACTGTCAATACTTCAGAATGGAATAGTTTATATATGTAACTTTAGCAAAGATTTATATAGCAACAACCACAACAACAACAACATAAACGAAATGCGAGAAAAATTTTAAGAAAAGTATGAAAGTGTGTGCACATTAATTAATTATTTGTAGAGCATTTGAAGGCCACCTAATCTTGAGCGCTTTATTTGAATGAACATTACGCTTTACGTACAGAGCTGCCAGTACTATTTATGTGACTTACACACACACTCACACCTTTGCTACAAATACACACACACACACACACACACACACATACTCACACGAAATGCAAACACACTTTCGTTTTCGCATTGCTGTACCTTGAACTACATACTATCTCTACTATTTGGCACTTCGTGGAAGATCTGCATTGAACAAAGAAGAAGAGTAAACATATGTATTAAACGGTAAGTTAATAAATGTGTAGCGTATAATACATAGCTTGTAAGTTTGGCGCACGCAAAAACGCATGCCTGCTGCCTATATAAACTTTTACATATACTATTAAGCGAACAGAATTATTACCAAAACAAAAATAAAAAACTCAACAGTAAAAGGAACATACGTAAACAATACTACACACTAACACATACAAATACACAGAACACAAGCTGAACCAGAGTTATAATACGAGTATGTGTGAGCGATTTTTAACAATTTATACTACATGGAAAAACTAGCTAAAAATGAAAGCAATTAACAATCCCATAGCGAAATTTTTAAAGCTAACAAACTTAATGAAACAACACTTATTTGAATAGCCTGTTGAAACAATTGTAAACAAACGCAAGTAACAACATTTATATTCATCTTATGAGTATGATTTCGTAGCTTAATGATAACATCTACGTAGTTATATATACATACAAATACATATGCGTAAATATACATACATACGAGTATATGAGAACTATAGTAAAAAACGTAAAAATGAGTAATGGAATCACAACCACCAATCAATGTAAAACTAAATTAAAACTAAAACGACATTCAATGTAGCTTATTTATAAAGAAAACGAAACATTGAAAAATTTAATTTCTTACATTGGTTTGCAGAAAATTATAAAAAATAAAAGAAAAATAACACAACTAATTTGTGCATTTTCAATATTACAAACAGATTATTTTTCATTTTGCGGCACAAATGTCTTTCCATTAGTTTTACTTTGAGCTCAAATTTACGCGCCACAGAATCGGTTATGAATCGGGATTGACGCAGATTGGTAGCTCTGTTTCCCAGAACTAGTTCACTAGGGTGGTGTTCATACGCGAACCAAGAGCAAGCAGTTCCTTTGCAGCTGTTGCTGTAAGCATTATTTTATTTAAGTCGCTTTATATTAAATTTAATTAAAGTATTATCATCGTCTGACTGCATAAACTCATACCTCATATTTTATTAAAATGACATCTATTATACATACATGCATATGTACTAAGGAACGGTAGCAATATTTTTTCTTAATACTTAAAAAAGGCTTAGTGTTTTTCTTCTTTCAAATGACAGCTTCATCAATCTCTGTTGTGTTATTTGCCACTTTATCTCGATATTTGTCCAAAATTATTTGGCGCCTCAATCGACAATCCAATCCGTGAAGTTGGCAACGCGACATAACAGCTGATATCTGCTCTACCAGCTCTCAAGCAACTAGTTCTAATCCTGTTCTGGTTCATATACGAACCTCCAGCTCACCTGCATTTGATCTGATTGGAAAATGTAAAATTTAGAGAATTTTGTTTAATACCAACAATTTAAGTAGTTAAAATACATTAGCACAGAGCATAAGTTTAAATACGGAAACAGAAACGCGACAATAACATCAACAAAAATCATGTAAGTAAAACAACATTTTCTTCTGGTCGAGTAGCAATTGCGACATCTAACAAATGTTGTTGTATTTGTAAATATTACAGATTATGGTGCATATGTAAGTGTCGCTAAAAAAGGTAGTAGCGAGCTATTACATCGCAGCGTCCGTTTGCGCGAGACATCAACAAGCCACAACGACGGCAACAAGCAAGTTCTTTGGAGCACCTTGAGTCTGCGGCTGGCGACGTTGCGGAAGACGTACATAGCACACACGGAAGTAGCCAAAAACTCGATTGGGCCTTACATTTGAGTTGCCGATAGCGTTCAGCCATGGCCGATGCTTTGCCCGAAAACGCGGCAGAAATTGCCGTTGCCAATGCAATCAATAACATTAATGGGCGTAATCGCGTAGTCGCTGGCGGTGCGGGTGGTGGTCAGGTATGTCTACATACATATATATTAAGATATGTATATTTCTTAGAAGACTTATGTATGCATTAACTTTCGTTTGCAGAACAACATGTTGAACATGCGCGATCGTCTCTTTCACGCCATTTACTTTCGAGCTGCAGCCGCGTATGCAGAGCTAATTCCACGGTGAGGACGATCTCTGGTGCTGATCCTATACAATAACAACAATATTTATCCATTGCAGAAAAGTGCAACTTGCTATTGAATACTTTTTGCTGGCGAAGGCTTTGTTATTTTTCTTTACTTTAATCTACGTTCATAATGCGTTTATAAAGAATCCCTGCACTTGCTTACAAGAAGTACACAATTGGCCCAGAGAGGGTGTTATAAGGTACACATACATACATTTTAAATGTTGTTCCTTTTGAAAGCTGTAAAATGTTATCTGTTTGCAGAGTGGAAATAATACCCCACCTAGCTGAGAAGCGCGCCATCTGGCAGAGCATTAAACAAGATCAACAGTTAATATACACACTAAAGGATTCATAGTAATTATTCAATTAGAGCAACTTCTCCTAAATAGGTTGCTTATCGCACTTTTTGTTCCAGCTACTATAACATCGGACCGCAAACGTATGTCAACCATTATCGGCTAAAGCGCTACGAATCGATACTTCGCAAGTTGGGCTTGCCTATACGGCCTACTTTTGCGTACAACAATGAAACGCTGTATCACTATTTTGATGCCATAAATATTCTAGATTCCTATGATCATCCCAATGCCATACAGCTAAAGGGTGAGGATGAGGACGGTACGTTATCAGCATTTGGTAGCTAATATTAGTTTATCAGCAAACGAACAATGTATTTTTAGATGAACAATATATAATGGAGTATTCGTTGGAATATGGACACCTAAGACTCTCACCTGCCACGCGCAAGCGTCTCAATATACCGGTGTTAACTGTACAATTAGATCCCAACGCAAATGACTGTTTTGGTGATAGACTGACGCGTTACTTGCTCAAACGATTGCTTGGGTAAGCGTAACCCTGGCTTAATAGTTCTTTAATTATGTTTATGTATATCTGGCTTGCAGCTACGACGACTTGTTGATGGCCTCAGTACGGGCTATAGCAGAAAAGGAGGAAAATAAAGGATATCTACGAAATGTCATTACAGGCGAGCATTATCGCTTTGTGTCCATGTGGTGGGCCACCTGGAGTTCCTATCCAGCGGCATTTTGTGTTATGCTACTGTTTGTAAGTTTTTACCGCACCACGAGGCACACTTTCTTATCTCTCGTCTTAATTAATTTGTTCTACTTTTTGCAGACTTTTTCGGTTTCAATGCTGTTGCGCTATTCCCACCACCAAATATTCGTCTTCATAGGTGATTACGGCACAAGAAACTACATTTTTAATTATTTAACTCGATTCTGGCTTTTTTATTCACCTTTCCAGTCGATCTTCTGCAAATGCTGGAATACAATGTGTCTGCGCGTTTTCCTATCGCTCCGTTGCTTACCGTGATATTAGCATTAGTTGGTATGTAATTCTTAATTTAAATGCTACCTTTAGCCAATGAATCGTTGGAATACTTGGTTAGACTTTTGCTATATATGTACATACATGTTACCATTTCCATTTCAATCAACGTATGCGGAAGCAGAAATAGTAAATGCACATTATTTCGAAAAACGAATTGTATAAAATGTATACTATAAATGTTTTAACATAATGCTAGTATTCCAATAGTTTTCCTCGTAGTCAAAAATGTTGATAATATACCCACTTAGATTCTGTATAATCTGTGAACAGGCTGGCATGTTTACGGATCAAATTTCCTTGCTTTTTCTGTCACATGTTTTATAGAAATTAAGCAATTCAAATTCTGTATTGACAGCTATTGCAAGGACACAGAAGTGAATTCTTTTCTTTTGTTAATTACTGCTAATTAGCTAACTAGTAGTTTTAATTTGTCTTTTGGCAATGCATGTATGAACAGATAAAAGTAATTCAATTACTCTATCACCTTTTGTTAGGATTCTATAGCGTCTTGCAACAACTTTTATATACATTTTTTTGTTTGTTATTGCAGGCATGGAGGCCATTATGTCCGAGTTCTTCAATGACACCACCACTGCGTTCTATATAATACTAATTGTATGGATTGCGGACCAATACGATGCAATATGTTGTCACACCAGTCTTACGAAACGCCATTGGCTCAGGTGCGTATTCAAAGAGTTCTGCACCGTATGCTAAGCTGGTCTCTGGGGCAACTATTATCTAGATTTTTACCCTTTTTTTTTGCATTTCACCTGATTTTGTGCAATCGAGCGTGCTTAGTATTAGAGTATGTTGCGGAGCAATTCAATTACATTAAGTCCAGCCTCTTGTATGTTGTCGTTGTCAGTGCTTTGAAATCCCTTTTGTAAGTTGCTGCTGCAGCCGGCACTACATAATAACAATAATGTGGGAATAGGAACAAGTCAACCACTTAACAGTCCATTTCTTTGCTCTGGTTGCGAAGCAGCATTTTACACTTTTCGCTCGGTTGTTATTTGAAAATTAACTTTGCTTGCGCAAGCCTCCCTCGGGGTGAGACCAAATCAACTCGAACACCATCGCCAGTCGAGTCCACCCATCCCCCACCCTCAGCTACACACAAACATACAGAAACACACACCAATGGCGGCAACGCACATATTGCACAAAATTTCATCACTTAAGTCAACAAGCGTAACCCAAGCGGTTCGTACCCAACTGAGCCGCGCCATTAGCAAACATTTAAATAAACTTTTTTTTTTTGTTTTTTTTTGTAATAGCCACGAACAAAAACGAACATGAAAAGCGTACAGAAAAAGGAAACTGAAACTACAAAATACATGGCGTTATATAAACATTAATGACCACGCACGTCAAACGCACACACACACACACACATACAATTAAGCTTGTTTCCTTTCAGATGGACAGACAAACGGACAGACAGGCAGACAAACCAGGCAAAAAAAAAAACAACAAAAATAAAGAAAAATAAGAAAAGAAGGGCTACTTTGCGGTTTATTACGCGCACTTTGCATAATTGAGCGCGCAGCGAGAAATAATTTTGAAACTGTCTGGAAAACAACGCGCCATTTTTCAACGATGCGCCATCATCAATAATTCAAAAAGACACTTGAATATTCCCTTTATACAGGACCAAAAAAGACCGTCTCCCTCTGCTTATGTTATTATTAAGAATTCATGTGCCGCGGCATGTCCCAATCACTATCTATCCTCGGCCCATTTTGGGTGTTGATTTTGCGTAATTTGCGTTGAATTAAAAGGCTATAAGTCTGTGGCCCATTCGCTTGCCACTTGTTGTTTTTGATGCTGCTTTCTACGGGGCATTTATATTCATTAAACATTCATTGCCGCGAGTGGTTTTAAATGTGCTAGTTCACTACACTAAGTGGCCTAAGCATTATGTATTTGATTTGCGAGTATACATATATACTATGTATATGCCTATTCCATCAATTATTTCATAAAGTAAGTAATTATAATATGCGGCTTTTTGTTGGCCTTCCTTTTTATCTTATCGTAGTACAGACCTAAGACAACAACACTACTTACAAGTTTTTGGTATTTGCACCATTATTTTATGTATGTAAATAAAGAACATACGATTCTGGTAGCATTTGATTTATATTCTTAAAAATATGCATACAAAAAGGGTAATCAGAGTAAAACTACTTATAGTAAATTTTCCAAGTGGTATCAAAATTCGATTTAAAAAAGTCATCTTTTATGATAGCCAAAACTCAACTTGTGATTCATTAAAAGTAGTAAGAAACACATAATAACTATAGGTAGATGTAAATTTTGGAAGGTAAATGGTCATCGTTAGTAGAAAGAACTTAATAGCTTTGAAAACCCAAAAATATGTATATTTTCGAGAAATGTTACGATTTGTCCTTGAAGTGGAAAAATGCGATATGCAAACTAAATTCAATCTATAACAAATAATAGAAGTAGCCTAAAAGAGAATCTCTGTAAAGCTACTTCCGCAAAAAACAAGAAAAAAAGGAAAAAAAGAACAAAGCAACAACAACAGTAGCTGCTGGCAGAGAATCATCTAGCATTACATTTATGGCAATAAATTGCTTTACAATTGACCTATCATAATAAAACTTGACAACAAATTCTAAGAATTATTGGTTATGAAAAATTACTCTTAGCGGACGAGTAGGGAGGTGGTTGACCCCGAAAAAAAATCAACCTTGACCTTAAGGGAATATACAAACGAATGCATACCAAGTTGACTTCATCTAGCTCTTATACTTCCTGAGATTCTTTTGTCCATGCAGACAGTTTGACGAACGTATTATATGTACATATATACTTTGGAGGGCCTGCCACGCCTCCTTCTGTGTTATATACATTCGCACTAAACTAGTAGACAGCCAGAAAATTAAAGCATGAAGCAAAAATAAAAACGTACCCCAAAATCATATGTGTGCATATGTGTCCTTCCGTATAAACGCAAGCACATAAGAGCTAAATTCACTGAACTTGGTATAACCTCGGTAATTCGTGGAATTCGCAATTAGTTAGTGTCGAGTCTTATCTCAAATGCTTGCTGCTGTTGTTGCGCCTTTCCTGGATGTATCGCATTAAGAGCACACATCAGGAGGGAGGGTGGCTCACAAACTCTTTACAAAACGTAGGGAATTTATAATAGAATTTACATACATCTATAGGAATAGAATATAGGAATAGGTGTTTCTCCGATCGAACTGTTATTGATATTTCTTCGCGAAGCTTCGATTTCACAATCAATTAACAATTTTGCTAATTTTGTTTCCCAAAAAAGAAAAATGAAAGCAACACTCCAAAATAGATGCATTTTCGAAACACATTCTTTGGCGGATTTGAAAAATGTGTCAAAAATTTTTTTTTTGTTTTTTATCTCTTTATTTTTGCTAATACTAAAATATTGTGGTTTCAGTTGCGAAATTATATTAAAAGAGTATAACAAAGCGTAATGTTTTTTTTTACGTTATCACTTTCATAAAATTACAATTAGTATATTTTGAGTTTTTTTTCTGATACTAATAATATATCTTATCTTTACATCATTTTCGTTCCGTCTCTCCAATCCTCCATACTTAACCAAATAATTAGAAATGTTATATGTATGCTAGATATTGTAGTTTTTGTGATTGTTGCTATAGCTCTGAAAGAACAAGTCAATTGTCATAATGCTGTTAGTGGTAGGAATTCATTTTATATATTTATATACTTTTATAAAAGGATGAAAAGTTAGAGTGAATGATAGATATATATGTACCTCATTCTGTTTTTATACGAGTTGAAAATTAAAAATTTTATATATGGTTACACGACTTTATTCCACGCTGTGTTTTTTTAAACTATTTTTGTATAAGTATATCAGCCGTGCTAATATGTATCCTTATATGTATGTATATTATATGTATCCTTTTGCGTTTTACACATTATTTTTTATTCAATCATATAATAGACAGTACTGGCATCTGCTAATCATTAATTAATACAAGTAAGACTTAGAAATCGTGAATAGTTTAATTCATTCTCTCAAAAACTGATGCATTGTTAAAAAGATAGAAATATTGATAGACAAGTAGATACATACATAAGTAGATAGATAGATATACGTGTACTTGTATATTTGTAAGTACTCGTATAAGTATGTTGCCAGCAGAAAATAATTTATCATTAAATAAATGATGATAAATGTTCCAACAAATTTAATTACAATTTTACTAATAAATTATTTATTAGCTGCATTTATTTTTGTTGTAAAAATTATAGAAATATTGAAGGAATCTTTACTAATAATAATTTAATGAATAAACCTTTACAAAAATTTCAATCATATAGAGAAGTAGATACAGAAGATATAAATATGTATAAATAGATACTATATACACACATATGTACTTAGACGGGCTAATTAGTTAAATATTTGATCTATCATCATGTGAATTAAATACATTTGAGTCAAGCATTCATTAGGGACTCTATGCTACGCTTTAATTCTAAATATACGATACTATATGTTTTTGCATTTTGTGCGAACAGATGTATATTTGTGTGTGTGTGTGTGTGTGGGTGTGGGTGTGCGTGTGTGTGTGTATGTTTGTGTACTCATGTACGGTTTAATTTTGATGTTATTGACCGCCTCGAGCTGTTGAACGGACTGCTGTTGCCTCCGCTACGGCCGTACTTTCATTTTCTCCATGCATTTTTATTTTTATTATTCTGTTCCATTCTGTTCCTGCGGTTTGTAGGGTTATGGGTTACTGGGATCGAGTGCGCTTCCTTCCGCACTCGAAAGAGCCCTACCGCTGCCTCCCCCCGCTTCATGCTTATTATTTGCTTGCCTGTTTGCGGCGAACTTGGTTTGGAAAGCGAGTTGGCGTTGAAGTTTGCATGAAATGCAAACAAGCTGGCGGCGCTTTTTGCTTTTAACAGAGAACGACTCGTACACTCCTATACACGAGCATGAGTACATCCCTAAACTGTTTGCCAAGCTCGTATTAATTTCATTGCATGAGTTAATTTGTGTACTCTAACTTTACGAATGCCAGCGATAAAAGTTGGCAATCTCTCTCGTATTATGCATTTTACGCTCATGCCGCCAGAATTGCAATTAAAGTTTGCCGTCAAGTTGGCTCTCATTAGGCGCTTCGGATATCGCTGCCAATTCAAAATAAATGGCTGGTTGGATGGATGGCCTGCCAGCAAATAATTCAATTGCATAGAAAATGATTCCATCTTTTTAAAGTCACAATTACGAAGCACTTCCGCATGCCACCAGCTTTTGCTACAATAACGCCGTTAATCGCCGTTTAACGAGAAGGCGCGACAGCAACGGTTACCAGCCTTGGATGGGTGGGGGATGGGTGGGGGATGTACACCCCTTTTGCTGCCTGTGCCCTGTGGCTTTGGCTTTTTGAAAGCCGTCAAGCAGCCAGGCAGCGAAGTTGGCCCAGTCAGGCATTCTGGCAACGCATAATACGTCTTTTAAGCTTACACATTCAGGCAAGACATCGGTTGGTTGGTTGGTTGGTTGGTTGGTTGGTTGTCTGTCCCCCGACTCTCCGCGCCACTTGCCCACTCCTGGTTGGCAGGCGCACACTCCAAAGTATGGCACGTATTAAATGAGCTGCGAATGTTGTTGGAGCATGACTTCAGCTGG